TCAGGTTCCTTTCTTAGCTTGAGGATTCTGAACAGGAAGATTGCTACAAATCTTCTTTCTTGTTTTCCTCAGTCAGTCGCTGTATCTCAAGCTTAGCCACCCTCAGTTCTTCCTTTAGCTGCTGGGAGAGTTGCTCAAGAGAGGATATCTTGTTCAGATACACAGAGAGCACAAAGACACGTCTTCACAGAGTTAAGTACAAGTCGCCTCTTGCTGTCATCTAACTGTAAGTCGGTCTGATGACTTCAGCCATTGTCTACCAGTAAGTCGGTCTATTGACAATAGCCGAAAAAAAGAAACATGATGCAAAACTAGCCATTATTGGGCTAACTTTCCACTCTAAGAGCGACTTATACGACCTGCAAAAACTCTAACCTAACCTAACGTATTAAAAGGAGTTTCCGCTACCTGTCATCCAGACAGGCTCATGTATACACCCCTCACCCAGTAACAGACTGGCTGATGAAGCCCTGATCCACTGGGAGGCCTGGTCAAGGACTGGGCTGCGGGGGCGTTGACCCTCGGAACACACTCCAAGTAGACTCCAGGCAGGTAAGTCCGTCGTTGAGAGTGCAGCTACTCATGTTACTTCCATAATTTAGTAAGTTTATTTAGGCACAGGTATACATAAGTACAATTATTAGACATAGTGTAAATTATCTAGAATAACCCAAAAACAAAGTCAAAGTGATTTGTTTCCATAGGGGTCCTTGACTTCCTTGTCATTTCACCACAATACACGCGATTCTGTAACTTAAACTGTCATTGAGGACGCGCTGCTATTATTATTACTCAGAAATTTAGTCAGCCATGACTCATTATTATTACCCACGAAATCGTAATGACACGATTATAAATTAATCACAGGACGGTGAAGCCTGAGTTGTAGAACTCACCTGCCATTGTGGTTCGTCCCACCAGTACTCTGAATTATTAGTCTCATGTGTTATTATATTCGAAAAGTACTTAACCCGTGTGGGCGTAATTCAGCGCTACGAAAATTATATGAATTTAACTCTACACAATTTTTTTTACGTGCAAGCGCTAAACCCGTAGGGGTCATATAGCACTGAGAATTGGAAGGAAATCTGGTTTGATTCAAGGAGAAGGAGTGCTCTTGATGCAATTCCTTGGATCAAGAACTCTTCACAACCAAGGCAATTCCCCTTGAAGTTATATATAATGCCAAATCTCTGACATAACCCTAACTCCACTAGACTTTGAGAAAGCCATTAACATGCCCATATACTCAGCCCCAGGCCCAGACTCGTGAAACTCTGTATTCACTGAAAACTGCAAGAAACCCCTCTCACGGGCCCTATGTATGCTACGGAGAAGGAGCATAGACACAGGTGAGATTCCAATCACTAAAAACAACGGATATAGCCCCACTCCATAAAGGTGGCAAAAAATCTTTGAAAGAGTTCTAAGAAGCAGGACAGCAAACCACTTGAACTCCCAACAACTGCACAGTCCAGGGCAACATGGGTTCAGAGAAGGTCGCTCCTGCCTCTACTGGACCGCTATGGTATGGTTTTGGACGCACTGGAAAACAAACAGAATTCAGATGTAGTATGCACAGATTTTGCAAAAGCCTTTGACAAATGTGATCATGGTGTAACAGCACACAAAATGCGTGCTAAAGAGATAACTGGCAAAGTAGGCAGATGGATCTTCAACTTTCTAACTAATCGAACACAGAGATTACTGATAAACAGTTAAATCGGAAGCTGCCATAGTGAAGAGCTCTGTTCCACAAGGCACAGTACTCACACCTATCCTCTTCCTCATCCTCATATCAGACACAGACCGACATTTAAACCATAGTACCGTATTATTCTCTGCAGCCGATACTAGGATCTGCATGAGTGTCATCTACTGAGGACACGGCAAATCTCCAAGAAGATATAAACCAACTTTTCTAATGGGCAACGGAGAACAATATGCTCACTGAAGACAAATTCCAACTACTCCGTTATGGAAAACTGGAGGAAATAATAGCTAGAACTGAGTATACTACAAACTCTAATCACACAATAGAGCGGAAAAGTCATGCGAAGAACCTGGGAGTGGTAATGTCTGATGATCTCACCTTAAGGATCACAACAGTGCCACTATCACATCTGCGAGGAAATTGATAGGATGGATAATGAGAACATTCAAGACAAGTGATGCCAAGCCAATAATAATCCTTTTTAAATCACTTGTTTTCTCTAGGCTGGAATACTGTTGTATATTAACATCTCCATTCAATGTAGATGAATGGTTCAGAGAACCGACATGTTGATAAATTAGACACATGTGCAACTCTTGGGTATCTTTATTGAGGAAACGTTTCGCCACACAGTGGCTTCATCAGTCCATACGTAGGAGAAACTTGAAGAACAGGAGGAGAATGAGGTAATCAGTCCCTCAACCTTGAGTCGATGTGTTTCCTCAATAAAGATACCCAAGAGTTGCATATGTGTCTAATTTATCAACATGTCGGTTCTCTGAACCATTCATCTACAAATCTGTCAGACACTGCAACTTCTTGGGATCTTAATACTTAGGAATTCTTCGCTTGCCTAATTCTTGGGCACGACCTACTTCCACATTGAACAAATGTGACACGACCTATGACTGCTGCACCTCTCCTGCCATACGGTTTATAAGCTGCTTCTCCGCTGATATGCCGTATTCTATTCAAGATTGATGGACTGAACACATCGACTCAAGGTTGAGGGACTGATTACCTCATTCTCCTCCTGTTCTTCAAGTTTCTCCTACGTATGGACTGATGAAGCCACTGTGTGGCGAAACGTTTCCTCAATAAAGATACCCAAGAGTTGCACATGTGTCTAATTTATCATCTCCATTCAATGCAGGTGAAATTGCAGATCTAGAGAATGTACTCACTGGAGCGCAGGCGAGAGAAATACATCATAATCTACACCTGGAAGACCTTGACGCTGGTGAGGGGTTCTTGATCTTGGGAATTGGATCTGTGCTCCAGTTCCCTGAATTAAGCCTGAATACCTTCCACATCCCCCCCACAGGCGCTGTATAATCCTCCGAGTTGAGCGCTTCCCCCTTGATTATAATATGTAACACCTGGAAGATCCTGGAGGGACTTGTCCTTAATCTGCACACAGAAATCACTCCCTATGAAAGCAAGTCTTGGCAGGCGATGCAGCATATCCCCAGTGAAAAGTAGGGGCGTCATTAGTACACTAAAACACAATAAGTGTCCGGGGCCCAAGACTGTTCAACAGCCTCTCACCAGCCATAAGGGGAATTACCAATAGACCCCTGGTTGTCAAGAGGGAGCTGGACAGATATCTAATGTTAGTGCCGGATCAGCCGGGCTGTGGTTCGTACGTTGGACTACGTGTGGCCAGCAGTAACAGCCTGGTCGTGGGCTGGGTCACGGGGGCGTTGATCCCCGGAATGCCCTCCAGGTAGACTCCAGGTAAGCTTCGTTAATATATAACGATTATTATTATTATTATTATTATTATTATTATTATTATTATTATTATTATTATTATTATTTCACTGGCCCCTGTAAAGGAAATCTTTAAAAATATGCATTTTGTTTTCAATAAAGATGTCGACCTAGTTACCTGAAGTCGCTTCCCGGGTCAAAGCCCGCGCGGCCGGTCTCAGACCAGACAACGTTTCTCTCCATAATTGGTTTAGGCAGTGGGGGGTGCCTTGATGCCGATGAAGGGCTATCGATCCAAGTTTTTTGAGCTGCCCTCCCGTTACTCGGAGCAATCCTGATTATCTCCCATTTCCCAAGTGCTGAATGACCATACGAGCCACAGAGCTTCCCTACAAAATAAAAATAATAAATACAATGGTACTTGGTACTGCTGGTTTTGCTTTAGTTCCTCTCTTCAAGGGGGTGACTAAGAGACATGCGTAATACCTGGGTATCTTTATTCTGAAGACATTTCGCTCTCCAGCGGCTTTATTAATTCAATGCAGATGTTACTGGAGTTGTTGAAACTGGAGACAGTAGAAGACGAGGTAATCAGTCCCTCAGCCATTATACGTTCATCACTGTAGTCTTCATGGAATCTTAAACGACTGTCTTTCTACATAATGGTGGCCCGTGGCCTGGTAGGCAAAGCTGCGAGTCACACGCTGAGTGTCCGTCGTTCGATTCCCAGGAAGGGCGAAAACTTTGGGCATTTCTCCTTACACCTATTGTCCTATAATAACAATGGTTATAAATGACCATAATTTTTAAAGGGGTGGACCGGTAAGCCAGCGGAAGGCCTCGGTCAGATGACCAAAAGCTTCAAAGGCGGGTCATCATCTGACTAAGACCCGCGTCAGGAAACATTTGTCCTGTTTCCTGACGAACCTTACCTAACCTAACCTATTGTCCCGTTCACCTAGCAAGTAGGTCCCTGAGTGTTAGTCGACTGGTGTGGGTCACATCCTGAGAGACAAGATTGTGAAGACACCAATGGAAATAAGGCAGTTCCTCGATGACACACTACCTTTCTTGGGTGGTTAACCCTCTGGGGTTAAAAATACCAACAAAATCTTATCTTACCTTTACTTCAGATTCACTCAAGACTACGGTGGTTAGCGCCTTCATCTATCTAGGCTGAAGGGACTGATTACCTCGTCTTCTACTGTTTCCAGTTTCAACAACTGATAAAGCCACTGGTTGGCGAAACGTCTTCAGAATAAAGACACCCAGGTGTTGCATGTTATTCATCAACTGGTCGGCACACTATACCATTACAGCTACCATACCTTCAAGGGAGTGCCTTGATGCTGTAGGGCTCTTGTTCCAAGGAATAGGGGCTTTTCCCTTCCTCGGATTCAACGTGGTTACCTCCCAGGTGACTCATGCCCTGACCCATGAGTTCTAGAACTCACCTGCCATGGGTTCAACCCTACCCATTTCATGATTTACCTCCCGAGTCAAGACTAAGCGCTAAACTCTCACGTGCTGTGGCCCCAACAGGTATAATAATAGTTGTAATGCGTGTACTTACGGTTTAGTGGTGGCCGCAGGAAGACTGAAGTAAAATATATAGTGGGCGTGTGAAGGGTGACTACCCCTTCTCACGGGCGGGCCGCCAGCTCAACATCACTGCCCCGCACGCCCACACTCGCACGCCCACATGCCCACCTATATGCTAGGTCCTTGTGGTGTGAGGGCGGTGGTGTGGCCGCAGCCACATCATACACAGGCTGGCCTCATGGGGAAGGGGGGTGTGACACAGCAGGCAGGACAATATATTTCGTCAGACACTGTGGCCGGCGCCGCCCTCACAAGTGGCCTTAATATAACACAGCCACGAGGCCACACGGCCACTTTGGGCCACCACTTAGTATGACACAATTACAGCTTATGTGATCACTATTCCCCTGGCCACTAGCACAAGTGTCGCCACTAAGTACACAACCTAGGCCTACACAAGGCCTAGAGAGCAGCCTCCAGCTGAGCCATCCCCTGCTCGACCACAACCCAGACTGGCCCTCACCGCTGCCTGCTCCCTGCCAAAATTATCAGGCCAGCAGGGTAAAAATAAACCAGTTGGAGAAGCCACAGCTCCGGCGGTTACTTGCCACCCCCCAGCCTGCACTGCTGCTGCTGCTGTTGCTGTTACAGCAGTGAGTGGAGGCTGCTGTGCTCACCTCTCACTACCACACATCCCAACACACACACTGATCTCATCCCAGGAATAATAAAAAAAAACCCACCTACACTACACACTAGTGATATCTGGCAACATTCCTCACTATACCCCCCCTCTATAAACACAAAAATCTAATACTTTTTACCTGTACGGCTATATTGCCCGATGCTTAAACTCGGGGGGAAAATAAGGAAAAAATCTTTTATCGGCCAGTTAAAAATATCTTTACATTCTTGCCTTAGACATGGAATTTGGCATCTCTCCTGAAACCCAGGGAAGGCCAACTATGATTTTTTTAGGTACGGAAATCTATATATTTCCCATTTATCAGCACTAATACATGTTGTCTTTGCACTCTGTTGCCTTATAAATTGCATGACTGAGCCAGCGATACACAAGGAATAGGTTACATGTGCTTCGGGGAAATAAAAACCTTGTGCGAAACCATCTGAGAACAGCGTTGCTGATTAGTAAATATTGAGTCATAAAGCAGTGAGTTGTCTCAGTATTTATATTGAGGTCAATTGTTGTAAAGTACCTAATATATAACAATGGTTATAAACGACCATAATTTTTAAAGGGGTGGACCGGTAAGCCAGCGGAAGGCCTCGGTCAGATGACCAAAAGCTCCAAAGGCTAAGACCCGCGTCAGGAAACATTTGTCCTGTTTCCTGACGAACCTTATCTAACCTAACCTAACCTGTAAAGTACCTAGAGGGAAGGTAGTTGTTAGGGAGTTTGAGAGGGAAGTAACTAGAGCAGCTGCAGCTGACACCAGAGATGGCAGCTGAAGCCATGGATATTCTCTAGGACCTCAGTGGAAATGAGTCAAGAACACCAATGGAAATAATATCTCTATTTCTACAAGTACATGTACAAGGTATATAGGTCTAGCTGACATTAGTGATATAATATTATATAGGAAGACCCTTGTTATGCAAAGCATTTCTGGCAAATTAGGTCAATTTTGTCCCAGGATGCGACCCACACCAATCGACTAACATTCAGATATCAATTTTACTGCTAGGTAAATATGGACAGCAAGTCTTAAGGAAACACGTCCTAATGTTTCCACCCGTACCAGGGATCGAACCACGGACCTCTGTGCGAGCTGAATGCGCTAGCGATCGAACTACGGGTCACCATTATGGATGCCAGTAGAAATAAGACAAGGACACCAATGGAAATAAGTTATTTTATTTGAAATTTTGGGTTATCCTAGGTAATTTACACTCTATGATGATGTACTTGTGTGTACCTGTGCCTATTATTATTATTATTATAATCAAGGAGAAGCGCTAAACCCGGAGGATTATACAGCGCCTGGGGGGGATCCCCTCAAGGAAGGTTCCTTGAAGTTGGTGAGGGGCTCTTGATTTAGGGAATTGGATCTGTGCCCCCAGGCGCTGTATAATCCTCCGGGTTTAGCGCTTCCCCCTTGATTATAATAATAATGGGGGGGGGGGGGGATGTGGAAGGCATTCAGGCTTAATTCGGGGAACTGGAGCACAAATCCAGTTCCCTAAATCAAGAGCCCCTCACCAACATCAAGGAACCTTCCTTGAGGGGTACCTGTGCCTAAATAAACTTACTTCCCCCCATCAGGGAAAATGTTTCCCTTGACGTTTGAGAGGGGCTCTTGATCCAAGGGATTGGATTTGCAGTTCTCTCCCCAACCTTTTATCGAATTTTATTTTCTCACTCCTAAGAATGAACTAGATTGCCTGGGAAGTGTGCTAGACCCCCAGGGGTCTAGCGTAGGTTAAAAACCTGAACAAATCTTAAATTAATTTTATTTTAATGACAACAACATTGATAATACTCAATTATTATTATAATCAACACCAAGTGCTAAACCCACGTGGGTCATACAGCTCTGTCATAATGCTCAAGGGCTCGGGATCGACGGAATTGGAATTACATCTGCCCTTCCTTAATTCAAATGAATATAATAATGGTGTGTCCTGCCCTCCTGTCACATTGGGTATGTTACATTACACCTGTTGCCATTGTTCATCTAGAAATAAGTAGGTACCTGGGTGTTAGCCAACTGCTGCAGGTTGCATCCTGGGGAAGAGAAAAAGGACCCCAGTAAGCCACATTGACTGGCTTCCTTGGTTACTAACTTTTGGGTTAATATTTCTAATAAAATCTTTTGTTTCAGATCATAGTTAAAAAAAATGGTTGAAATCACAGTACCATACAAAAAAATAAGACTGCTAGCATATTTTAAAAGTGCATTGGGATGGAAGACATGCTTTTCTTGTATGATGAACACCTAGGTCCTAGGGAGGGAACATTATTACACTCAGAACTAGGTCATATAGCACTTTTAGGGAGGGAACAGATTATTATTATTATAATCAAAAAGAAGTGCTAAGCCACAAAGGGGGAGGGAACAGAGAAATCACTTCAGTGTCCTGATGCTCATGAAGGATATTTTATTCAAGGAATTGAGGCTTCTTTTCCATTGACTCACGAAATCGTAATGACACAATTGCAAACAAACCATACCACGGGTGGGGTTTGGACCCACGGTCAGTGTCTGAAAACTCCAGACCGTCGCGTTAGCCACTGGGCCAGCTAGCTTCTTATTGAAGCTAGCTGGCCCATTGGCTAACGCAATGATCTGGAGTTATGAGACTCTCTGACTGTGGGTTCAAACCCCACTTGCAGTATGGTTTGGTTTCCTTTTTCGTTTCTTAGTCCTTCAGGTGAGTGCCTTGAAGCTGTTAAAAGGGCTCCTGATCAAATTATTAATATGGGAAAGTCCTAAATCCATAGGGGTCATAAACACCTGGAGAATGGGAGGTAATCAAGTTTGATGTAAGGGAAGACAGGTCCAGTTCCTTGGATTAAGAGCCCCTCACCAGCATCAAGGCACCTCCCTGGAAGGATTGATCCAAGGAATTAGAGCTACACTTCATATCAAATCGTATCAGGTGCTGCTTGACCCTTACAAAATTAGTATTTCCTCATGAACATATATTACAGACCAGAGTGCAATGATGAGTTGGTTCAACTCTCCAATGCTGCTAAATTTGTGGGCAATTTATCATTATATTCATGGGGGTGCATTAAACCCATAAGGGTCATGTAGCACCTGGGGGAATGGGAGGCATTCAAGCTCGATCCAAAAGGAGGGCAGGTCCAATTCTTTGGATCAAGAGCTCTTCACCAGCATCAAGGAACTTGAAAAGGAATTTGTGCAAAGAACTATTGAATATGCAGTCCTGTTTCTCAGGCTTCTTTAATAATTTTGTAATTACCTTGTATAGTTGTCCTCTCAATCTGCCATAAAAACGCACTATGTAAATTCATTATATAAGATCCAGCCATGCACTCATAGCAGTGTGGCAAAAGGATGGACACAACGCCGTAATGTCCACTTGGTTCTACCACAAATATTTTTTCTATTAACACATCGGCTGTTTCCCACCAAAGTAGGGTGGCCCGAAAAAGAAAAACTTTCATCATCATTCACTCCATCACTGTCTTACCAGAGGCATGCTTACACTACAGTTATAAAACTGCAATATTAACACTCCTCCTTCAGAGTGCAGGCACTGTACTTCCCATCTCCAGGACTCAAGTCCGGCCTTCTGGTTTCCCTGAATCCCTTCAGAAATGTTTCTTTGCTCACACCCCAACAGCAGCACTGGTCGCCGTTGCCCAGCGGCGAGAGTAGCGACTCTTATTGCTGAGGTCCAGGTAATAAACTCTGGACATTAACATTCTCCAACAGCATGTCGAGTCCATATAAACATTTGTCTCCATTTGCTCCTATCTAACATGCTCATGCATGCTTGCTGGAAGTCCAAGCCCCTTGCACACATAACCTCTTTTACCCCCTCCCTCCAACCTTTCCTAGGCCAACCCCTACCGTCACTGGTTGGCGAAACATCTACAATAAAGATACCCAGATGTTGCACATGTGTCTTAATTTCATCTTGTCAGTATTGTATACCATTCTTACACAACTTGTCAGACACTGCAACATCATGGAATCTTGATTCTAAGGACATGTACATAACCTTCACGACTACGGCAACTACTTCTACAACTAACCCATCTCTTTGGGTAGGACCTACTTCCACTGGGGAATCCCGCCTACCAGTGACAATGCCCTCGTCTGCTACCCGTCCCATTTCCACCTGACGTTACTATATAAGCGTCAGGCACCTTGCTTCTGCTTCAGAATCTCCATGACTACGGTGCTCTTTGCTGTATAGCCCTTGTGGCTTAGCGCTTCTTTTTGATTATAATAATAATAATACGGTGCTCTTCGCACCTACTCCAAGGTTGAGGGACTGATTACCTCATCTTCTGTACATAGTTCTACTGTCTTCAAGTTATGTCCTGGAATTTGTATTGATAAAGCCACTGGTTGGCGAAACGTCTACAATAAAGATACCCAGATGTTGCACATGTGTCTTAATTTCACTACAGATTTATACACTCGAAGTCATTTTATTTAGTTCCATCCTCTCTATATGTCCGAACCACCTCAACAACCCCTCCTCATCCCTCTGGATAATAGTTTTGGTAATCTTGCACCTCCTTCTAATTTCCAAACTATGAATTCTCTGCATTATATTTACACCTTTTTCCCCTTGTCAGTTCTATGAAACGCCTCATCTTTCATAGACCCATCTGCTGACACATTCATTCCTAAATATCTGAATAGATTCACCTCCTCCATACTTTTCCCCTCCAATCTGATATCCAATCTTTCATTACCTAATTTTTTTATCCTCTACCCAGAATAATATTCACAATTTCTCTGATAGCCAATCAACAGATTAGGAGATAAAGATTTTTTTTCAACAAGTCGGCTGTGTCCCACCTAGGCAGGGCGACCCAAAAAGAAAGAAAATCCCCAAAATGAAAATACTTTCATCATTCAACACTTTCACCTCACTTATACATAATCACTGTTTTTGCAGAGGTGCCCAGATACAACAGTTTAGAAGCATATAAAAAGATACAATATAAAAAGTAACCTGAAATAATATAATAAACTCCATATAGAATATAATATCAGGGCCCCAATTATATATATACCATCCTATTACACATCCCTCCAAACTGCCAATATCCCAAACCCCTCCTTTAAAGTGAAGGCATTGTACTTTCCATTTCCAGAACTCGAGTCCGGCTATATAAAAATAACCGGAAAATCTCGATGAGATAAAGATACAAGTTTGAATTACCATTATTGTTGTCTTGGGGAGCACAACCTGCTTGAATTACCGTTAATCCTATAATAAAAGAACTGTTAAGATGGAGTTAACGTAGCATTCTGAATACAGTAAATCCTTTTGTGCTACATAGTACATTCAGAAAGTAAAGGGTCTTAACTTTGCCTTAGTAATGCTACAGGGTAAATGCTATTAATGCATTAAAATAAATAAATCAGCAATATGCTGTATACATATCCATTCCCCTCAAAGGGGTGCCTCAATATCAGTGAAGGGCTTTTGATTCAAAGAACAAACTAATCGCCCTCATTTTCCTAGATAAAATCTTATTGCCTCCCATTCTCCTGGTGCTGCAGCACTGTATGACCCTGGTGGGTTTAGCACTTAGTTTTGATTATAATAATACATACTCTCCTGGTGTTGTATGAAGGATTATTTTTCTTAATAAAACCATTTATCAAACTAATATAATTTTAATTGCTTTCTTACTGTATAAAGGCCATTGCATATATAAATTTCAAAATAATAAATTAGCTTCAAAGAAACAGGATTGACTGAAAATTCTTATTTGCATTACACACTTATATAAAACAAAGCAGCACACTTGTTTTGCTGAATTTTTATTCTGAATTACTCATTTGCATTCAAAAGTGTAGTTGCATTTTATTATGCATTTAATAAAAATTACAGTGTAAGCCATGGCTTAGTTCTGAAGGGAAATGAAAAAAAAAAAAAATTCAGGCTTTCTGACACACTACCTCTATTATCCTTCTGCAAAAAAACACAATATAGATGTTCCCAAGCTATTACTTTTTAGCTCAGTGAAGCATATTCCTTCTCTGCAGTATTAGTGTGCGAATGCTCATCTTATATAACGCAGCTTCTTTGGTCTGTTTTAACATTCCTCAAACCACATTATCTGTAACTTGATATACATCTTAGAATCTTTCCTACTGACAAAAAGCAAACAATATATCAAGTCTGTCTCAGACACTTAATGATTAACTGCATTACTTTCATTTATTCATCTTTATGTAATTTTGTAATTTGTATTTGCACTTATATTTTTTATCACTGATCACTTGTGACTTTTAGCATATACTAACACACAAGCAGCTGTACATTATTTATCTTATATATTAATCTCACTGTAGTGTAAAAATTAATGAAGTTATTTTACAACACGCACATCACAGAGAGATACCAAAGTGAGAAAAACTCACAAAATTAATAGCCTCTCTAACCAGTTTAAAAATGGGTAGGTAGGATGAATATTACCTGTTTTGGTGTCTGAAGATTAAAATTAATAAGAAAATACAAGAGGGCACCATGGCATATTAAAAAGTATAATGCTGGTACAGATCAGCTCTCACTCAAGCTAGTTTACAAAAATGGCAGACTTGTTAGTATTATACAGTATTTATGACCAGTGTGGGTCATTCAGCACAAGAACTAGCGGAGAGTCATTCAGCATAAGTAGTGGAGGCTCAATCCTCCGTCTGCTAAATAGTACCAGACAGGCGTGCTGCCATAACATATACACGTGGAATTTTTTTGCAACATACTTGATACCTTTAGCACACAATACATTTGTAGAGTTTCTCCCTTTCAGGAAGGTGCCTTGATGCTGAAGGGATTTTAACCCTCAGAATTGTAACACCTCTCTATTTCCTTGGATCAAACCTGACCTCAGATTCTCCAGACACTGGACCATATGGGTTAAGCACTTCTTATAAATATACATAATAATTTTGTATTTTAGGTTGCTGCTATTTTAAGAGTTCCTACACAAAACTTTTCTCTTTTAATAATCTAATGAATGTCAATATTAACAAGGATTATGTGGAGTACAATAAGGGTTGGATGTGAAAAGTGGGTTACAGTAAGCATTTATGCACCTGGAGAAGAGAGAAGTGTAGAGGAAAGAGAGAGATTTTGGGAAATGTTGAGTGAATGAATGGGGAGTTTTGAACCAAGTGTGAGAGTACTTGTGGTTGGGGATTTCAATGCTAAAGTGAGTAAAAATGTTGTGGAGGGAGTAGGTAAATTTGCAGTGCCAGGGGTAAATGAAAATGGGGAGCCTTTAATTGAGCTATGTGTAGAAAGAGGTTTGGTAATAAGTAATACATATTTTATGAAAATGAGGATAAATAAATATACAAGGTATGATATAGCACATAATGAAAGTAGTTTGTTAGATTATGTATTGGTGGATAAAAGGTTCATGGGTAGGCTCCAGGATGTACACATTTATAGAGGGGCAACTGATATATCAGATCATTATTTAGTTTTGGCTACAGTTAGAGTAAGAGGTAGATGGGAAAAGAGGAAAATGGCAACAACAAGCAAGAGGGAGGTGAAAGTGTATAAACTAAGGGAGGAGGAAGTTCGGGTGAGATATAAGCAACTATTGGCAGAAAGGTGGGCTAGTGCAAAGATGAGTAGTGGATGGGGGGGTTGAAGAGGGTTGGAATAGTTTTAAAAATGCAGTATTAGAATGTGGGGCAGAAGTTTGTGGTTATAGGAGGGTGGGTGCAGGAGGAAAGAGGAGTGATTGGTGGAATGATGAAGTAAAGGGTGTGATAAAAGAGAAAAAGTTAGCTTATGAGAGGTTTTTACAAAGCAGAAGTGTTATTAGAAGAGTAGAGTATATGGAGAGTAAAAGAAAGTCGAAGAGAGTGGTGAGAGAGTGCAAAAGGAAAGCAGATGATATAGTGGGAGAGGCACTGTCAAGAAATTTTAACGAAAATAAGAAAAAATTTTGGAGTGAGTTAAACAAGTTAAGAAATCCTAGAGAACGAATGGATTTGTCAGTTAAAAACAGAGTAGGGGAGTTAGTAGATGGGGTTTTTGGGTAGATGGAGAGAATATTTTGAGGAACTTTTAAATGTTGACGAAGAAAGGGAAGCGGTAATTTCATGAACTAGCCAGGGAGGTATACCATCTTTTAGGAGTGAAGAAGAACAGGATGTGAGTGTGGGGGAGGTGCACAAGGCATTATGTAGAATGAAAGGGGGTAAAGCAGCTGGAATTGATGGGATCATGACAGAAATGTTTAAAGCAGGGGGAGGATATTGTGTTGGAGTGGTTGGTATTTTTGTTTAATAAATGTGTGAAAGAGGGGAAGGTACCTAGGGATTGGCGGAGAGCATGTATAGTCCCTTTATATAAAGGGAAGGGGGACAAAAGAGATTGTAAAAGTTATAGAGGAATAAGTTTACTGAGTATACCAGGAAAAATGTACGGTAGGGCTATAATTGAAAGAATTAGAGGTAATACAGAATGTAGATAAATAAATTAAATTATGGGGAATCAAATTCAAAATGGGAATTGACACAGTTACTTTTTGCTGATGATACTGTGCTTATGGGAGATTCTAAAGAAAAATTGCAAAGGTTAGTGGATGAGTTTGGGAATGTGTGTAAAGGTAGAAAGTTGAAAGTGAACATAGAAAAGAGTAAGGTGATGAGAGTGTCAAATGATTTAGATAAAGAAAAATTGGATATCAAATTGGGGAGGAGGAGTATGGAAGAAGTGAATGTTTTCAGATACTTGGGAGTTGACGTGTCGGCGGATGGATTTATGAAGGATGAGGTTAATCATAGAATTGATGAGGGAAAAAAGGTGAGTGGTGCGTTGAGGTATATGTGGAGTCAAAAAATGTTATCTATGGAGGCAAAGAAGGGAATGTATGAAAGTATAGTAGTACCAACACTCTTATATGGGTGTGAAGCTTGGGTGGTAAATGCAGCAGCGAGGAGACGGTTGGAGGCAGTGGAGATGTCCTGTTTAAGGGCAATGTGTGGTGTAAATATTATGCAGAAAATTCGGAGTGTGGAAATTAGGAGAAGGTGTGGAGTTAATAAAAGTATTAGTCAGAGGGCAGAAGAGGGGTTGTTGAGGTGGTTTGGTCATTTAGAGAGAATGGATCAAAGTAGAATGACATGGAAAGCATATAAATCTATAGGGGAAGGAAGGCGGGGTAGGGGTCGTCCTCGAAAGGGTTGGAGAGAGGGGGTAAAGGAGGTTTGTGGGTAAGGGGCTTGGACTTCCAGCAAGCGTGCGTGAGCGTGTTAGATAGGAGTGAATGGAGACGAATGATACTTGGGACCTGACGATCTGTTGGAGTGTGAGCAGGGTAATATTTAGTGAAGGGATTCAGGGAAACCGGTTATTTTCATATAGTCGGACTTGAGTCCTGGAAATGGGAAGTACAATGCCTGCACTTTAAAGGAGGGGTTTGGGATATTGGCAGTTTGGAGGGATATGTTGTGTATCTTTATATGTGTATGCTTCTAGACTGTTGTATTCTGAGCACCTCTGCAAAAACAGTGATAATGTGCGAGTGTGGTGAAAGTGTTGAATGATGATGAAAGTATTTTCTTTTTGGGGATTTTCTTTCTTTTTTGGGTCACCCTGCCTCGGTGGGAGACGGCCGACTTGTTGAAAAAAAAAAAAAAAAAAAAAAAAACAGAATGTAGGATTGTGGATGAGCAAGGGAGGTTTCAGAGTGGGTAGGGGATGTGTAGATCAAGTGTTTACATTGAAGCATATATGTGAACAGTATTTAGATAAAGGTAGGGAAATTTTTATTGGATTTATGGATTTAGAAAAGGCATATGATAGAGTAGATAGGGGAGCAATGTGGCAGATGTTGCAAGTATATGGAATAGGTGATAAGTTACTAAATGCTGTAAAGAGTTTTTATGAGGATAGTGAGGCTCAGGTTAGGGTGTGTAGAAGAGAGGGAGACTACTTCCCGGTAAAAGTAGGTCTTAGATAGGGATGTGTAATGTCACCATGGTTGTTTAATATACTTATAGATGGGGTTGTAAAAGAAGTAAATGCTAGGGTGTTCGGGAGGGGGGTGGGATTAAATTATGGGGAATCAAATACAAAATGGGAATTGACAGTTACTTTTTGCTGATGATACTGTGCTTATGGGAGATTCTAAAGAAAAATTGCAAAGGTTAGTGGATAAGTTTGGGAGTGTGTGTAAGGATAGAAAGTTGAAAGTGAACATAGAAAAGAGTAAGGTGATGAGGGTATCAAATGATTTAGATAAAGAAAAATTGGATATGAAATTGGGGAGGAGGAGTATGGAAGAAGTGAATGTTTTCAGATACTTGGGAGTTGACGTGTCGGCGGATGGATTTATGAAGGATGAGGTTAATAACTGTAGGTAGTAGGTTTGTAGACAGCAACCACCCAGGGAGGTACTACCATCCTGCCAAGTGAGTGTCAAATGGAAGCCTGTAATTGTTTTACACAATGGTAGAATTGCTGGTGTCTTTTTTTTCTTTCTCATACACATGCAAGATTTCAGGTATGTCTTGCTACTTCTACTTACACTTAGGTCACACTACACATACATGTACAAGCATATACACACCCCTCTGGGTTTTCTTCTATTTTCTTTCTAGTTCTTGTTCTCGTTTATTTCCCCTTACCTCCATGGTGAAGTGGAACAGAATTCTTACTCCGTAAGCCATGCGTGTTGTAAGAGGTGACTGAAATGCCGGGAGCAAGGGGCTAGTAACCCCTTCTCCTGTATATATATTACTAAATGTAAAAGGAGAAACTTTCGTTTTCTTTTTGGGCTACCCCGCTTCGGTGGGGTAGCCCACCGAAGGTGCAGTGAGTGGTGCATTGAGGTATATGTGGAGGAAAAAAACCCGTTATGTATGGAGGCAAAGAAGGGAATGTATGAAAGTATAGTAGTACCAACACTCGTATAGGGGTGTGAAGCTCGGGTTGTGAATGCAGCAGCGAGGAGGTGGTTGGAGGCAGTGGAGATGTCCTGTCTAAGGGCAATGTGTGGTGTAAATATTATGCAGAAAATTCGGAGGGTGGAATTTAGGAGAAGGTGTGGAGTTAATAAAAGTATTAGTCAAGAGGGCTGAAGAGGGGTTGTTGAGGTGGTTTGGTCATTTAGAGAGAATGGATCAAAGTAGAATGACATGGAGAGCATTTAAATCTCTAGGGGAAGGAAGGCGGGGTAGGGGTCATCCTTGAAAAGGTTGGAAGGAAGGGTTAAGGGAGGTTTTGTGGGCAAGGGGTTGGACTTCCAGCAGGCGTGCATGAGCGTGTTAGATAGGAGTGAATGGAGACGAATGGTATCTGGGACCTGACGATCTGTTGTAGCGTGAGCAGGGTAATATTTAGTGAAGGGATTCAGGGAAACCGGTTATTTTTATATAGCCGGACTTGAATACTGGAAATGGGAAGTACAATGCCTGCACTCTAAAGGAGGGGTTTCGGGATATTAGCAGTTTGGAGGGATATGTTGTGTATCTTTATACGTATATGCTTCTAAACTTTGTGTTCTGAGCACCTCTGAAAAAACAGTGATTATGTGTGAGTGAGGTGAAAGCGTTGAATGATGATGAAAGTTTTTTCTTTCTTTTGGGGTTTTTCTTTCTTTTTGGGTCACCCTGCCTCGGTGGGAAACGGCTGACGTGTTAAAAAAAAAATAATGACAGACTAGTGTGAGAACTGCAGAAAATATATGCTGACTTGAATTAAGTATTACAATGATACAAGATGAATATACAAAAAAAAAGTAGAAGAGGAAATTTGTATAGATATTTTATAAGAATTGTACCGACTAGAGCCTAGAAAATATTTTGGATGTGACAAAACAATTTATCTGAAATTTTAGCACTTACTGCTTATGTCTTTATTCATGCAAAACACCAAAATCCATGCCAATAAAAAAAAATTAGGCCGTTGGAAAACAAAACAGAATACTGATAAATAAGTTTAAAGAGATCATTACATGTATACTAATGGCTGAACACATTTTAGAAAATTTATTCAGCAATCCCCTGAATAGCACAAGTTTGCTAACGGTAATTTTATATGACTAAAGTTACATTAAAATGTATTTTTTTTTTTTTGGGTGAGAACCTTACCCCCCCACCTCCCTGCACCCAAAGTAATCTTTCATATATGCCAGGTGAGTCAGTGCTAGTCATGTTTGGTGAGCCAGTGAGACCATGTGTTGCTGTGCCAGGTTCAATACTCTCTAAGTTTTGTCCAAGCCAACATAAGTTCCCAAAAATTGTAAGGATTTCTGTAATACGAAAGCTTAGAGAATAGGCATTTTAGACACTAAAGTGGCTATTTTATGATAAATTAATGCTACTGAGAAAATAAGGTTTAGTGCTTAGTTATGATTGTAATAATAATAATAATGGGAAAATAAATACATTTAAATTTTTGGGGTTATTTAATTCGGCAGTGTGTACCATATATCTAACTTGTCTAAACTCTCTTGCTTTCTTTCTTGATTTTGTCTAATCTACCTATCTCCCCCCCCCCTCCCATTTATATGCTCTGCAGTAATAACTAAGAATAACTTGTACATAACTCATACTAGAAACCACATAAAACTACCACACAGTGTAATGCTTGCGGCTGAATATTCATCATTGTGTTAAATCATTACTCTTGTTCTGAATTCACAATTGTGTTAACTCATTACTACTGTTCTGAATTCAACAAATAGTTTGTTACCAATGTAACTTTAAGCCTAACATGTGTGTTAGGTAATCCTTTGGCTATCACCAATAAGATAGCTATGGGGTGCATAATAAAGATATCAAACAATGTATTTTGCAAGGTAGCAAGCAATGTGTTTATTTGGTTTTGTTGACCCTTGAGGGTCGACAGGGCATCTCCGAGACTTGTTCTCAGGGAAAAAAAACTATTTTTTCTTATGAAAAGATAGAGAATCTTTTCCCGATCATAATGACACCAAAAGTATGAAATTTGATGGAAAACTTACATAATTATGCTCTCGCGAAGTTAGCGGTCTCGACGATGTTTACGCATCGGCAATTTTGCCCACTTTGAGCCCTATTTTCGGCCAATTCCAGTGTACTAGTCGACAAAAATCATAACTATTTCTCTAGAACTCCATTTTTTCTATTGAATGAATACAAGAAACCATCCATTTACTGATTTCAACTATCCAATACAGTGGTCAGAATTTAGCAATTTTGCCAATTTCACACAAATTTCAAAAGATGCCAATTTCCAAATAGGGTCCAGAATAAACAAGAAAGACATTCCTGGCACTAAAATAACATTTCCTCTGTTCGTTAGTCACATCCCCAGGCCCCTCTTATATTTCTTTGGCTTTCCACTTTCAATTTTTATTCTTACAAAAAAATAGAAGGTTTACTGTTATGCAGACTACTGCATTAGTGTAGAAATGGTATAAATAATATCAGCACACTTGTGAAAGAATATTAGACTCATCAGTTGACATGTATTGGATGCTTGGCATGATTTGTTTACTTTTGAACTTTGGTAAAAATCGAACATTTCTGCTACTTTGAGCTCAATTTCAAGGTACTTTTCATTGTAAAACCAGTCAAAATCATCTCAATTTCTGTAATATGTCTTCCATTCTATAAAATGAGACCAAGAAAACTAGAATACAACAATAAATACCATACGAAAATACAGTGCAAAGTCGCTGTTTTATTCCAAAAACACGGTCAAAGTTTTTTTTTTTCTCATTATGCACTGTGTGCTGCAGGATTTTTTTTATACTGTGCACACTGACCACATAGACCCATTCTTTCATATGTATGCTTACCAGCTTTCTCCCACTAGATTTGAGAGCGCTAGAATTTAGGCGTACTAGTATGTCAAAAACCCTGGGTCGTAAGCCGTACTAGTACGGCCGAAACCCTCAAAGGGTTAAAGGTCATTCATGCCGTACTGCACAGTACTTCCATGAATGCTAGAAATTTAACAAGAAAACTATACTGCATAATGGAATATTTCTTCTCCCTGGAATGCATCTTTGTTATAACACATGAAATTATATGAAAGATTACTTGGCTTTGCTCTGGAATGCATCTCTGTTGCAAAGTTGGGGATCACTGCACAAATCAGTCATTACAATTATGAGGACTAAAATTCTCTTGCAATAATGTTGGTAGAATTACCAACAATATGTTAGGTAAAAGAACACATGTGCAACTAATGCGATATTTTACTGTGGCAATGTTTCACTCTCCAGGAGTTTTGTCAAACCGTCTCACTTTCCAGGAGTGAAACACCTCCACAATCAAATGTTGCATTAGTTGCATATATGTCTTCTTACCTAACATAAAATTTCTTAATGTCCAAACTAGAGTACATACTCCTAAAAATGCAGTAATGAAGATAAACTGTGACTAGAGAGAATAATTATCAGTGAAACAATAATTTACAAATAAACCCACAAAGTGAATATGAAACCTTAGATGCCGACTATAATACTCTCACAGTGAGCTGTCACTCACATATTAATACAAACTCAATCTCACTCTTAAGAATTTTTTGTGCTTAATACGCTTTAGTGTTTCGTGGGCTTATACTGAAGATGTATCAACTTTTGTGCAAATGTTAAGCAAGAAAAGTTTACTACAATAGCTGCCTAACTCTCCTCTAATTTACAAGGCATATAATTATGGTTTATAATAAATATTCTTACTACAGTATAAAAGAAAAATATACCTGGGAGACAGGACAAAGGCACAACTACACATCTAAAATGGAATGAACAAGGAAAGATATCAATTACATTTCTATTGTTATTGTCACCTTTCATAATATTTCCAGGTACTAAACATGCCCACTTAATTAAAAAATGCATGAATATAATTGATTTACTATAATAATTACATATTTGATGGGTAAACTCAATATTTTGACCAGTGAAGGTATGCGGCATATGTATAACATGGACAATATTATGTGCCATGATTTTCATGTTTTCAATATAATTGTACATAATATACATGTATTGCCTATTAATATACAGTATTAAGCAATGTTGAAAACAAAGAAACAAGTTGCAGAATAAGTTTATTGGGACAGCTTTTATTTTTATCTACACAGTGAAACATTGTCCCAATAATAGCTTAACCTGTAACTGTCTCTCTCTCTTCATACTTTTCGGCAATACACTATTTCATCTAAACAAGCAATATTAATTACATTACAATCAAAAGTATTCTTAACTTAATAGTATGGCAAATAATAATTCTATAAAGGGCAAAATATTCAGCATGATAATTAACTATATCACATAAAATAATATCAACCTGCTGCTACTGGTTCAAGTTTGATACCATTGTACTGTATTAAAAAAACACAAACACATAGACTATATAAATTATGTAAATTTTGTTTAAACTTGCTCATGCTGCAGTAATGGATACAGAGTTTTTAAAACTTTTAATTACCTATTTGAATGTGTGCAGGGCAAACTCCAGTTCTTGGTCCCACCTCTTAACTTTTAACAAACTGATGTGAAATAGCCCTGTGATGTCTAATTCTGAGCCATAGTATGAAGTGAGTTTCCACTGTGTCATTGCTCAGCTCACATTTTGTTGTCCAAGCAGCTTGTTTGTTCATTGCAAATAAAAGAATGCTGAGCATTTACAATAATTTTATTTAAGGAACAAAACAAGGCACAATACTATGACTGGAACAATATACAAATAACCTACACACAGGAGAGAGGAGCTTATGACAAAGTTTCGGTTCGACTTGGACTTTGTAAATGGTCTAAGTCGGACCAAAACATTCGTAAGCTTCTTTCTCTAATGTGTGGGTTATCTGTGCACTTTACTGAAACAAAAATTCTTGAACTAATAAATGTTCTGCAAAGTATTTCTCTTAAACTAAGAGATACCAAACTACCAAGGACATTTTTTCTACTACCTAACAGACAAATTATACAGTAATTTTTCTTCTTAAATGCAATAATAATAAAAAATAATAAGTTATATTTTTGTATGTACAGTACATAGATATTACTATGAGTGGATTTGCAGTTAGTACAGTATATAGATTAAAACAGCCCCTAGTTATGCACAACATATCTTCAACTAAAAGGCATTAAATACTGGGGACTGCCATGTAACTAAGGGATATTAAACTCCCAAGAAATTTTACAGGATGCTCTACAGAAAGGGAGTCCTCACGAGTACCTAGGCCTACTGAAAATTGGGTAGAGGTGCCTGGCAGCACCTGTGGCAGTTGACCTGGTTACTCAGAGAGGATACTCACTCTATACTGTAAAGCCTACATATCTGTAAAGAGAAAATGAACTACCTTGACTAATATTTAAAGCTCCTCAAGTATTTAACTGAAATACAAACTATTCTCAAATTTCTGCCAACTATGAGAAACCATAGAAAAATGAAAGTTCATGAAATGGTTTTATTTAGGAGAAAAAAGTTTTTTTTTTCAATGACTTATGTGGCAACAAACAATCTCTACTCATATTTTTCTTTAACTCTAAAGACTAACAGATTCACAAGGGATTCCATTTCACTAAGAGACAAACTTCACAAAGAAAGATATTCTTAAGCTATTATCTAATTTATAAATCGTGAAAAATTTTCATGGAAACTAGAAGATTTACCTTGAATCAAAACTTGTAAAACTGAACTTAACCTCTTGGTAGTGATACAACAAAAAGTCAACCTCTCCTATGAAGAAATTAATAATATTTTTTTTTTTAAATAAATCTGAAAGATCAATTTCATGATTTTACCTGAAAGAGGATGTTTCCCAACTGATCTTGTGCAGCTCAATATTTTCCTTGACCAAACCAACCGTCTCGCACCAAGGCAAGGCGACTCAAAAATAGAAGGTACATTCACCCCTCATTCACTGAATGAATAACTGTTTTGCTAAAAGTGCACATATCACAATTTGAATGACCCTTTGAATTGCAACATTCCCACCCCCTCCTGCAGAGTGCAGTCACTGTACTTCCCACCTCCAGGACTTTAAGTCGGATACTCATTTTTATGAATGCCTTCAAAAATGTTACCATGCTCACACTCCAACAGTACATCAAGCCATAAAAGCAACTTGTCTCCAATCACTACAATGGAACATGCTTAGAGAAACCTAATGGATGTTCAACCCTCAAGCAATTATTACCTCCTTTACTCACTCCCTATAACCTTTCATAGGATGACTCCTACCCCTTCTTTCTTTCACCTCAGATTTATATACTTTTCCTGTTCATTTCATTCTGCTCTAACCTCTCTAAATGTCCAAAACCACCTCAACAAGAACACCTCTGTATTATACAGCTGGTAACCTCACACTAAATTCTAATTTCTAGGCTCCAAATTTTCTGCCTAATAATCACAAGTATTCTTTCTTTTTTTCCAGATGCCTCAACACTCCACCCATCTCCTTAAGGTCCACCTTGTCTTTCATGGACCCATATGCCAACATGTCCACTCCCAAATATCAAAATATGGTGGAGGTAAAATATCTAGCTCTGCCATACTCGCTCCCTTGAATCTGATATGCAGTCTTTCACTGCTTACATTTTCTTACTTTCATTGCCTTGCTCTTTTCTGTTTACTTTAAAGTTCCATCTTTTACACACCTTCCCAAATCCTTTTGCCAATCTTTGCAATTTCTCTCTGGAATTTTCCAAAAGAACCATGTCATTGGCAAAGAATAACTGAAAACTCCCACATTCTATCACATTCATTATCATTTAATCCCATTCCTTTCCACAACACCTTAGCATTCTTCTTTTTTACAGGCCAATTTATAACCAAGATAATATCACACATCACCATCTAGAGAAACCAATCCCCTTCTCTCCTAATCCACTTCTCAAATCCCACCTTTATGCTAATTCATATAATTCTCAAATTGAAACATTGATGCCTTCTCTTTAATTTTCACAGCTGGTCATTTAATATGACTGCTACTACTCCTTTAGCTCTAGTTCTCTAAGACACACCTGATTTAACCACTCTTACTTCCAATTAAATTTAACCACCCCTTTCAGCTTTGTTTCACTTACTGCTAGGATATCCAGCTTCTTTTCATTAAGCCATTCACTGTTGCAGCTGCTGAAATTAAAAGCTGGCAAAGTTGAGACTTTAAAAAAATAATAATAATTTTAGCATCTAAAATGGTAGAGAATTTTGTTAATGAAGGTAATGTGAAATTTGATGGAAAACCTACAAAAATAACTCTACAAAAGTACCCTGGCATGAAGTGGGCAATCTGTGCACAATTTATATATCAGTGATTTTTGCCCACTATGAGGTCTATTTTAGGCCAATTGCTGTATAGCCCTTGTGGCTTAGCGCTTCTTTTTGATTATAATAATAATTTAGCCCAATTCCAGTGTCAAGCTGACCCAATTCCTGGCTCTTTTGCTAATATACCTTCCATTCTATTGATTAGGTGCAACCAAATGCCTATTCAACAATCAGAACAAATTAAAATTTACAAAGTTGAAAATAAGCACTACTGTATAGGCATTTGGGCCACTAAAACAATCTTTTTTCTGTTCATTAATAATGTCCCCAGGCCTCTCCTATATAACACTTGCCCTCTATTTCAAATCCATCATCACAAAAATTAAAAGCTTCACCCCATTTCTCAGCTAATAAAATATAATTACGAATGATTGGTCATGGTTCAGACTGCCTCAGTAATTGAAGCAGATCTAATAAAAACTCATCAATCAGACTGGTGGGGAAAGGTGTAGCAAGGCTTCTATTCTTCCTCAGGAAAATCGCCAAAAATCATATCTTTCAACAAATCGGCTGTATCCCACCAAGGCAGGGTAGCCCAAAAAAGAAAAACAACAGTTTCTCTTTTTAAATTTAATAATATATACAGGAGAAGGGGTTACTAGCCCTTTCCTCCTGGCATTTTAGTAGCGTCTTACGACATGTATGGCTTACGGGGGAAGAATTCTGTTTCACTTCCCCATGGAGATAAGCAGAAATAAGAACTAGGAGGAAAATAGAAGAAAACCCAGAGTGGTTTGTATATATGTATAATGTTTGTACATGCATGTGTAGAGTGACCTAAGTTGACATAGAAGGAGCAAGATGTACCTGAAATCTTGCATGTTTATGAGACAGAAAAAAAGACACTAGCAATCCTACCATCATGTAAAACAATTACAGGTTTCTGTTTCACACTCACTTGGCAGGATGGTAGTACCTCCTTGGGTGGTTGCTGTCTACCGACCTATTACCTAGTCAAAAATCAAATATTTCCACCAATCTGAGGTCTATTTCAAGCTACTGCTTGTGTGAAACTGACCAAAATCATTTCCATTTCACTTCTATGTCTACCATTCTATCAACTGATATCAAGAAATACCTAATAAAACTATGAAAATAACCCTAGAATATGACTCAAACACAAGATCAAAGGTCAGCTGTTTCCACCATTCACTATGTGGGGGCAGGGTTTTTTTTGTCATACTGTGCACATCCGACAGACAGTCTCATGTCTAGGCAAATATTTACCACTCGCAGCATATTTGAGGGTGCTATGATTGAGATACAGATCTACATAGGCACCACTGGCCTAAATAATGGAGATCTATGTAAGAGAGAGTGAGGGGATTAATAACCTTAAGAATCAATCACTCCTTATCATCTGTACTACACCCATGCATACTCGAGCAGTCCGGCTTTTGATACAGAAGAAGGGATTACTAGCCCCTTGCTCCCAGCTTTTTAATTGCCTTTTACAACATCCACTGCTGACATAGGAAGGCTTTTATCCCACTTACCCATGGAAATGAAGGGAAATCCTACAGCAGCAAGAACCATTAAGAAATGTAAAAGAAAACTCAGCTGAATGTGAATACGCATACATACACTTATTCTGGTTAGCCCAACTTGAGTCCTGAAGGTGAGAAGTACAATGCCTGCACTCTAAAGGAGGGGTTTGGGATACTGGCTGTTTGGAAAGACATCTAAACTGTCATATCTGGGCACCTCTGCAAAGACAGTGAATATGTGTGAACGATGGTGAAAGTGTTTCTTCTTTGGATCACCCTGCTTTGGTGGGAGATGGCAGGCATGTTGAGGGAAAAAAAAATGATTTAATTTCTGGAAAATCATGTACAGTGGTACCCTGAATTTTGTACAGCTCCCAACTCGAACAATTATGTAAGTGTATTATTGTAAGTGCTTTTGTAATGCATTTGGGGAGTCTGAAACGGACTAATCTAATTTACATTATTCCTTATGGGAACAAATTCGTTCGGTAACGGCACTCGAACAGCCTTCTGGAACGAATTATGGCCGAAATTCGGGGTACCACTGTACTTCCAATTTGAATTGTGGCACGAACATGGTATTTGTTATGAAATATACCCCTGCCCTTGGCTTATATTTGTCATATGATGTATGTATTGTACTACCAAAAGGGTCAAAAGTAATTTCCTAATGTAGTGGGAACAACTCACAAGTAGCTCACATCTTCAAGGTTAACTTGAAATGAAATTTCGAATACTTGATACTACAGTACATCAACAAAAAAATAATTTTCCCATGAAACTAAGTTTAAAAATACGTACAATGTTTACACTACCATAATATATTGTAAACGAAGTTCAAGTTGCATCTTTACTTAATATAAATTCTCTGTTGTTGCTGAAACAGATAGAAGTTTAGTGTCTCAATATTCAATTAAGAGCTATAAATTATTATCATCTATCAAGCATTGCAACTTGGCTATATTTTCCATAATTATAGGAGGGTTGAAACAAAAATATTGGACTTAGTTGAAAGATAAAGTTATTTCTCTAGTATTGAGCCCAAAATCACCAAATCATAAAATGCAAACTGACCAATAAAATGTTGAAAAGAAAACTACAAAGATAAAAGGTGAAAGTAAGGGATTGTAATTACAGTTATAAGTTAATGTATAAAAATGACAAAAAATCTACAAGCTCTGTGAAAAGTGGATATTACCACACCCTCCAGCAACAAAGAACAATGATGGGCAAAAACTTTTAAAGGTCACTAAGGGTTCTTCATCAGTGCCGTGAGAAAGTAACTGAATATTTAAGAATTATTAGTAATGTAATTCTTATATTTTTCCTGTTACTTTCCCATAACACCACTGAAGAGTTCTTAGTGACCTTGAAAAACTTTCACCCACCATTTTTTCAGGTCTTTCTGGAAAATGCTGTGTTATACAGAAATTAAATGTTTCTGGCTTTGCTCAAAGATAGCCAAAGTCCCACATCAATAAACTTCAGTAATACGTGTATTCTTTACATCTTTATTTCCCCATCTTTGGTTTAAAAGACTATAGTACCTAAATAAAGTTTTGTCAAGATTGACTGAAAACATGCAAGTAAAATTATAAGAATTACTATTAATAACAATACAGCTGTCACTGCCACTTCTACCAAAAACAGTTTCTTTTGTCAAGTACACATTTTGAGTAACTTAAACACTGATTTTGAGTACATGAAATAATTTTAACATTAAATCATACACACTGTGTTATTATAACAACATTTGTGATTACTGCCATATAAAATGAAATTACAAAATAGTAATTCAAGAGGTAGAAATAATGCAAGATGATGATGGCAAAATGCTAATGAGCCTATGCCACCAAGCAGGCTGCGTCAATGATTAAGCTTATCACTGACACTAGTCACAGTGTGTGTACTGTGTAGCATACTTATGGTAGTTTCTCTGCTTTCATTTTCATCATGTGCATTTTCCTCCAACTTTACATCATCCTTTGCAAGTACTCTGTTGCCAATATTTGTCATCGCATTCTGATGGTTCAGCCTAAAAGAAGAGCTAGAGCGGGAACTGTCCAAACTTACTATTTTAACTGTTCTCTTACCACTATACTTCCTACTGGAGATTTCCCTAATGGATGTATTAGTACCCTCTTCACCTGGCATTTCATCCAACTCTTGCTGTGGCTTTCTTGACACTCGAGTGAAAGGGGACGATGCAGCCAGGTATGGCCGAGTGTCGTAAGAGAACATGACACCTAAAGCCACATTAAAGGCTGAAGCATCGTAGTGGTGGCAGCCAGAGTAGCGGAATAATGGTTTTTTGTCATACCTGGACACCAAAATATTAATCAGTATTCCATTTCTACAAAAGCAAAATAAAAAGTACATTATACTGTACATCAACGTATTGATAGCAGGAGACATTAACAAAACAATATTTGATATACATATACGTATATTTTAATAAAGTGTCTCTCATCTCTTCTTTTTCCCATCAAGATAGATGGACCAAACAATTTGCAAATACTCATGCACTCTACTGTTCACTTTACATCTTCAGGACAAACTATAATGCCAATACTGTACAGAATTAAAATTCTTTCTAGAGAGAGAAGTAAGAGAGTCCATGGGCACTAAACAAGATATTCCTAGTTGATATTTCATGCATACATATGAATCTATGTAAAAATGCTTTGCAAATAATGGGGTCCAAAATCTGGAATGGTCTACTAGAAACTAAAAATGGCATAACTTTAAATAAATTAAAACATAACTCAAAAACACTGTTTCAACTCTATGTAAAGCACAAGCTATCAGGTCCAACTCACACCCACCCACATCCACTCATGTATTTATCCAACCTATTTTTAAAGCTACACAATGTTCTGGCCTCCATAACTGTACTTGGGAGTTTGTTCCACTCATCCACAACTCTTATTACCAAACCAGTACTTTCCTATATCCTTCCTGAAAATTCAGATTCAGGAAGGATATAGGAAAGTACTGGTTTGGTAATAGAGTTGTGGATGAGTGGAACAAACTCCCAAGTACAGTTATAGAGGCCAGAACGTTGTGTAGCTTTAAAAATAGGTTGGATAAATACATGAGTGGGTGTGGGTGGGTGTGAGTTGGACCTGATAGCTTGTGCTACCAGGTCAGTTGCCGTGTTTCTCCCTTAAGTCAAGGTGGCCTGACCTGACTAGGTTGGGTGCATTGGCTTAAGCCGGTAGGAGACTTGGACCTGCCTTGCATGGGCCAGTAGGCCTGCTGCAGTGTTCCTTCGTTCTTATGTTCTTATGTTCTTATAATCTTCACTACTACTGTTACATGCTACAAGTTTAACTAAATGTATTTTGTAATTTATTATCCTTCATACTCCAGTTACGAAATATGTAATTATCATACCTATATTATAGTTTTTCATTAATACTAATTAAGTGTTTTTGCCAACTGGTCAATTTAGGCTTAGAATCACCATGTGAAGAATTTTTCTTTTATATACTGTACCTAGTTAGCAATAAATACATTATATGTACAATATATTTTTTATGTACTACCCCAAGTTTAAGTCTCCCCGAAATGATCTGCATAACCCTTTGACTGTTGCAACCCCAAAACCTGAGATGTCTCCTGGTGTCGCAAAATTTAAAAAAAAAATTATTTTTTCTTATGAAATTATAGAGAATCTTTTCCCGATTGACACCAAAAGAATGAAATTTGATGGAAAACTGATGGAATTACGCTTTCGCGAAGTAAGCGACCTTGGCGATATTTACGAATCGGCGATTTCACCCACTTTGAGCCCTATTTTCGGCTAATTCCATTGTTCCAGTTGACCAAACTCATAGCTATTTCTTTAGAACTCCATTTTTTCTATCGATTGAGTATAAGAAACTGCCCATTTACTGATTTCAACTACCCAATTATGTGGTCAGAAATTTGCAATTTGGCCAATTTCACGAAAATTAAAAAAATATGACAATTTCAAAATATGGTCCAGAATGAACAATGTAGACATTCCTGGCTCTAAAATAACATTTTCTTTGTTCATCAGTCACATCTCCAGGCCCCTGTGATATTACTCTTGCTTTCTATTTTGAATTTTTATTCAAACAAAAAATAGAAGATTTACTGTTATGCAGACTACTGCAATATTGTAATAATTGTATAAATAATGTCAACCCATTCATGACTGCATATTAGAATGGCTAGTTGGACATTTATTGGAAAATAACATCATTTGTTTACTTTTGAACATCGACAAAAATCAAGCATTTCCCCTACTTTGAGCTCCATTTCAAGGTTCTTTTCTTAGTTAAACCAATCAAAATCACCTCTATTTCTATAATATGTTTTCCATTCTCTCAAATGAGACCAAGAAAACGAGAATACAACCATAAATACTATACAAAAATAGACCACAAAGTCGGCATTTTAATTAAAAAAAAAAATGGTCAGAGTTTTTTTCTCATTATGCACTGCGTGCTGCAGGATTTTTTTTATATGGTGCACACTGACCAAACAGACCCATTCTCTCACATGTGGACCTACCAGCTTTCTCCTGCTTGATTTGAAGCCACTAGAATTTATGAGTATATATATGGCAGTTTGGAGGGATATGTTGTGTATCTTTATACGTATATGCTTCTAAACTGTTGTATTCTGAGCACCTCTGCAAAAACAGTGATAATGTGCGAGTGTGGTGAAAGTGTTGAATGATGATGAAAGTATTTTCTTTTTGGGGATTTTCTTTCTTTTTTTTGGGTCACCCTGCCTCGGTGGGAGACGGCCGACTTGTTGAAAAAAAAAAATATATATACGTCAAAAACGGTGGCTCATAAGACGTGTATATATACAACCAAAACAGTCAAAGGGATAACAATGAGCTTTTCAAATTAATACATGATTACTGTAATCCAACCTTTGTTATTTAAGTGTATCTTCATGGAAAATATTATTGGTGTATTATTTTTTTTTTAACAAAACGGCCGTCTCCCACTGAGGCAGGGCAACCCAAAAAACAACGAACAAAAGTTGTTCTTTTTAAATCAATAATTTATGCAAGAGGAGGGGTTACTAGTCCCTTGCTCCCGGCATTTTAGCTGTCTTGTTATTAATATTATAATTATTATTTATTATAATTAGAGAGATAGCAGTGTATGACATGATTTAAAACTATAATAATAATACAGTGGACCCCCGAGTTTCGTGATTAATCCGTTCCAGACAGCCTGCCGAAAGTCGAAATTCATGAAACTTGAAACCATTTTCCCCATAAGAAATAATGGAAATAAAATTAATCCGTTCCAAACACCCAAAAATATTAAAATAAATTTATTTTTTTCAAATTAAATAAAGATTTATATACTGAAATAAATGAGAAATCAAGTACATGCATATAAAAAATAATAATAACATTACACTTACCTTTACTGAAGACTTCTGGGAGGATAGAAGACGGGAGGAGGGGATAGACGGAAGGTGTATACTATTGTTTGGAAGGAGAATCTCCTTCCATTAGGACTTTAGGTAGCAAGTCCTTATCTGGGGTTACTTCCCTTCTTCTTTTAATGCCACTGAGAACAACTTGAGAGTCACTGGACCCCTGTCGCACAAAATATCTGTCCAGAGAGGTCTTTTTCTGGCGTTTCTTTAAGATTTCCCTGAAGTGGGACACAACACTGTCATTGTACATGTTGCAGATATGGCTTGTTTCAGCTTGGTCAGGGTGATACTTTTCAACAAAACTTTGCAACTCATTCCACATTCCACACATGTCCTTAATCACTGAAGAAGGAACCTCCTTAACTCTCTTTTCCTCCTCCTCTGAAGCAAGTTTCTCGGCTGTGGTCTGATGCTGTTCAAGTTGAAGCTCTTGCAGTTCGTCAGTGGTTAGCTCTTCCCTGTGGTCCTCCATCAACTCTTCCACATCCCCGTCACTCACCTCCAACCCCATGGACTTGCCCAATACCACAACACCTTCCACAACATGCAGAAGGTCGGCAGGGACAGGGTCTGCCTCAAACCCTTCAAAATCCCTCTGGATCATGTTCCTCACTTTATTTACCAAAGGGCTTGCACTAGCTTACCTTGGGTCCATGATGACTTATTTAGCAGTTGCAAGCACAAAAAACAATGGATTATTATGAAATGTATTGTATGAACCCGCGGGGTGATGGTCATGTGTTGGTAAACAATGGCACACTGAGCGTGAATGGCGTGGGAGACTGGCTTGGTGTGCGCGGTGACGGGCGGATGGGTACCGGACGGTCACCAAAACACGAGTCTAATCACGAAACTCGAGGCCAAATTTTGCCAAAAAAACTCGCCGAAGGTCGAATTTCACAAAAGTCGATGCTGCCGAAACTCGAGGGTCCACTGTAATAATAATTTCTTCAAATACATGTACAAGGTATACAAGCCTAGCTGACATCAATGACATACTATACAGAAAGCCCCTTGTTATGCAGAGCTTTTTGGGCAAATTAGGTCAATTTTGTCCCCAGGATGTGACCTACACCAGTCAACTATCACCCATGTACCCATTTTACTGATGGGTGAACACTGGGCAGCAGGTGTCTTTAGGAAACATGTCCTAATGTTTTCCACCTGTACCAGGGATTGATCCCTGGAACTCAGTGTATGAGCTGAGTGCGCTGGTAACTGAGCTACAGGATATCCAACGTATGATTTACACATGACTGAGAGAAGTTAACAAGGTGTATGGTGTTTATTAGAGCAGTGCCTGCACTATAAAGGACAGATGGGGATACTGCAGTGAGAGAGCTAATCTGTGATGTCAGCACACTTCTGGAAAGATGGTGATTGAGTGAATGTTGATGAATGTGTTTTCCTATGGCGGCGGGTGACAGCCACCAAGTAAAAAAAAAAATACAAGACTGAATAAAAGGATTTCACAGATGAACCAGCAAATATCAATGGTTTACTGTATTATATTACACATTTTATATGTGTTGTAAAAGTCAACTAAAATGCCAGGAACAATTTGCTAGTAACCTGTTTTCCAGCATAGCTTACTAAAATACTACTTGATGATAACCAACACTCTTATATGGGTGTGAAGCTTGGGTTGTAAATGCTACAGCAAGGAGGCGGCTGGAGGCAATTGAGATGTCCTGTCTATGGGCAATGTGTGGTGTAAATATTATGCAAAGAATTCGGTGTGTGGAAATTAGGAGGTGTGGAGTTACTAGAAGTATTAGTCAGAGGGCTGAAGAGGGGTTGTTGAGGTGGTTTGGTCATTTAGAGAGAATGGATCAAAGTAGAATGACTTGGAGTGTATAAATCTGTAGGGAAAGGAAGGAGAGGTAGAGGTCGTCCTCGAAAGATTGGAGGGAGGGGGTAAAGGAGGTTTTCTGGGCGAGGGGCTTGGACTTCCAGCAAGTGTGTGTGAGTGTGTTAGACAGGAGTGAATGGTTTTTGGGATCTGACGAGCTATTGGAGTGTGAGCAGGGTAATAATTAGTGAAGGGATTTAGGGAAACTGGTTAGCCGGACTTGAATCCTGGAAATGGGAAGTACAATGCCTGCACTTTAGAGAAGGGGTCTGGGATACTGACAGTTTGAAGGGACTTCTAAAACTGTCATATCTGAGTGCCTCTGCAAAGACAGTGATTATGTGTGAGTGAGGTGAAAGTGTTGAATGATGATGAAAGTACAGTATGTTCTTTTTGGGGATTTTCTTTCTTTTTGGGTCACCATGCCTCGATGGGAGACGGCCGACTTGTTAAAAAAACAAATTACACAGTTTAAAAACAGTATTCAAAAGTGAAAAATTCTATAAATCTCAGAAAATTTATATTTGTATCCAGCATATCCTCTAGTATCTGTGTGTGAATATAGTTCTGGATATCTGTCATCACTTCAGTCGCACAGAAACAAACACCCTTCCTTCCCTTTTTCCCTTCAAAATAAGAAGTCTACAGTAGCACTACCTTTTTGATAATTTTCTTTTTTCAACAAGTCGGCCGTCTCCCACCGAGGCAGAGTGACCCAAAAAGAAAGAAATCTCCAAAAATAAAATACTTTCATCATCATTCAACACTTTCATCTCACTCATACATAATCACTGTTTTTGCAGAGGTGCCCAAATACAACAGTTTAGAAGCATATATAAAGATATATAACACATCTCTCCAAACTGCCAATATCCCAAACCCCTCCTTTAGAGTGCAGGCATTGTACTTCCCATTTCCAGTACTCAAGTCTGGCTATATAAAAATAACCGGTTTCCCTGAATCCCTTCACTAAATATTACCCTGCTCACACTCCAACAGCTCGTCAGGTCCCAAAAACCATTCGTCTCCATTCACTCCTATCTAACATGCTCATGCACGCTTGCTGGAAGTCCAAGCCCCTCGTCCACAAAATTTCCTTCATCCCCTCCCTCCAACCTTTTCAAGGACGACCCCTACCCCGCCTTCCTTCCCCTACAGATTTATATGCTCTCCATGTCATTCTAATTTGATCCATTCTCTCTAAATGACCAAACCACCTCAACCCCTCCTCAGCCCTCTGGCTAATACTTTTATTAACTTCACACCTTCTAATTTCCACACTCTGAATTTATAAATATAATTTATATGTATATCAGTTATAATTTTCAAGATAATACTAGAAGGCATTCACAAGTTGTGGACTTTTTTTTTTTTTCAACGAACCAGCCATCAAGGCAGGGTGACCTAAAAAGAAAAACGAATGCTTCTCTTTTTAAATTTAGTAATGTATACAGGAGAAGGGGTTACTAGACCCTCATTCCTGGCATTATAAACACCTCTTACGACACACGACTTACGGAGGAAGAATTCTGTTCCACTTCCCCATGGAGTGGACTTTTTATTTATTAATAAATAAACAGCAAAACCATTATGGTAGGTAACCCTTGGAGAAACTTTAGGAAAAATGGTGGATGTAATAAAACTAACCACAGAAAATGACTAAAATGGTGGATTAGTCTGGGACTGTGTGTAAAAGTAGAAAGTTAAAAGTGAACATAGAAAAGAGTAAGGTGATGAGGGTATCAAATGATTTAGATAAAGAAAAATTAGATATCAAATTGGGGAGGAGTATGGAAGAAGTGAATGTTTTCAGATATTTGGGAGTTGACGTGTCAGCGGATGGATTTATGAAGGATGAGGTTAATCATTCTAGGTAGTAGGTTGGTAGACAGCAACCGCCCAGGGAGGTACTACTATCCTGCCAAGTGAGTGTAAAACGGATACCTGTAATTGTTTTACATGATGGTGGGACTGCTGGTGTCTTTTTTCTGTCTCATAAACATGCAAGATTTCACGTACATCTTGCTACTTCTACTTACACTTAGGTCACACTACACATACATGTACAAGTATATATATACATACATACCCCTCTGGGTTTTCTTCTATTTTCTTTCTAGTTCTTGTTCTTGTTTATTTCCTCTTATCTCCATGGAGAAGTGGAACAGAATTCTTCCTCCATAAGCCATGCGTGTTGTAAGAGGCGACTAAAATGCTGGGAGCAAGGGGGCTAGTAACCCCTTCTCCTGTATAAATTACTAAATTTAAAAAGAGAAACTTTAGTTTTTCTTTTTGGGCCACCCTGCCTTGGTGGGATACAGCCGGTTTGTTGAAAGAAGAAGTAGAAGAAGAAGAAGAAGAAGAAGAGGTTAATCATAGAATTGATGAAGGAAAAAAGGTGAGTGGTGCATTGAGGTATATGTGGAGACAAAAAACGTTATCTATGGAGGCAAAGAAGGGAATGTATGAAAGTATAGTAGTACCAACACTTATATGGTTGTGAAGCTTGGGTTGTAAATGCCACAGCAAGGAGGCGGTTGGAGGCAGTGGAGATGTCCTGTCTAAGGACAATGTGTGGTGTGAATATTATGCAGAAAATTCGGGGTGTGGAAATTAGGAGAAGATGTGGAGTTAATAAAAGTATTAGTCAGAGGGCTGAAGAGGGGTTGTTGAGGTGGTTTGGTCATTTAGAGAGAATGAATCAAAGTAGAATGACTTGGAAAGTGTATAAATCTGTAGGGGAAGGAAGGCGGGGTAGGAATCATCCTTGAAAAGGTTGAAGGGAGGGAGTAAAAGAGGTTTTGTGGGAGAGAGGCTTGGACTTCCAGCAAGCGTGCATGAGCGTGTTAGATAGGAGTGAATGGAGACGAATGGTATTTGGGACCTGATGAGCTGTTGGAGTGTGAGCAGGGTAATATTTAGTGAAGGGATTCAGGGAAACCGGTTATTTTTTATATAGCCGGACTTGAGTCCTGTAAATGGGAAGTACAATGCCTGCACTTTAAAGGAGGGGTTTAGGATATTGGCAGTTTGGAGGGATATGTTGTGTATCTTTATACGTATATACTGCAGAGATTGGTGGATGAATTTGGTAGGGTGTGCAAAAGAAGAAAATTAAAGGTGAATACAGGAAAGAGTAAGGTTATGAGGATAACAAAAAGATTAGGTGATGAAAGATTGAATATCAGATTGGAGGGAGAGAGTATGGAGGAGGTGAACGTATTCAGATATTTGGGAGTGGACGTGTCAGCGGATGGGTCTATGAAAGATGAGGTGAATCATAGAATTGATGAGGGAAAAAGAGTGAGTGGTGCACTTAGGAGTCTGTGGAGACAAAGAACTTTGTCCTTGGAGGCAAAGAGGGGAATGTATGAGAGTATAGTTTTACCAACGCTCTTATATGGGTGTGAAGCATGGGTGATGAATGTTGCAGCGAGGAGAAGGCTGGAGGCAGTGGAGATGTCATGTCTGAGGGCAATGTGTGGTGTGAATATAATGCAGAGAATTCGTAGTTTGGAAGTTAGGAGGAGGTGCGGGATTACCAAAACTGTTGTCCAGAGGGCTGAGGAAGGGTTGTTGAGGTGGTTCGGACATGTAGAGAGAATGGAGCGAAACAGAATGACTTCAAGAGTGTATCAGTCTGTAGTGGAAGGAAGGCGGGGTAGGGGTCGGCCTAGGAAGGGTTGGAGGGAGGGGGTAAAGGAGGTTTTGTGTGCGAGGGGCTTGGACTTCCAGCAGGCATGCGTGAGCGTGTTTGATAGGAGTGAATGGAGACAAATGGTTTTTAATACTTGACGTGCTGTTGGAGTGTGAGCAAAGTAACATTTATGAAGGGATTCAGGGAAACCGGCAGGCCGGACTTGAGTCCTGGAGATGGGAAGTACAGTGCCTGCACTCTGAAGGAGGGGTGTTAATGTTGCAGTTTAAAAACTGTAGTGTAAAGCACCCTTCTGGCAAGACAGTGATGGAGTGAATGATGGTGAAAGTTTTTCTTTTTCGGGCCACCCTGCCTTGGTGGGAATCGGCCGGTGTGATAATAAAAAATAAAAAATACTTCTAAACTGTTGTATTCTGAGCACCTCTGAAAAAACAGTGATTATGCATGAGTGAGGTGAAAGTGTTGAATGATGATGAAAGTATTTTCTTTTTGGAGATTTTCTTTCTTTTTTTGGGTCACCCTGCCTCGGTGGGAGACGGCCAACTTGTTGAAAAAAAAAGAAAAAAAAAAAAAGTGCATGGAAATCTGGGCAGTGATAACATTACTATATAGAGTACATGCAAATACAACATGCAAGAATCCCAAGAATCTTATTTTGGAAAAAAAGCTAATCTAACAATTTATAAAAAACTCATGAAGATTTCCACTCATTAGTAGATTCCTATGTACCAAGTTCCGACTTCAAAACTACATCCTTGTAAGCTGCAAGTTATATCATTAAAGAAGTTAACAAATGACAATGCACAGTTGAAAAACAAAAGATATAACTATCTTTTTTATATATATTAATTTTATATTTGAAAGCACAAGAATATTCTGTAATATAATATTCATGAAAAAGTGCACAACCCATTAGACTCATACAGCCTTTAGAAAATGGGAGGGACTCAAGTATTATCCAAGGAGAAAGGTAGCTCCAATTCCTTGGATCAAGAGCCCTTCACATAACCAAGGATCCCTTTGATGGGACAAGGATAAGCAAGATAAGAGTCAATTTCCTACTCCTTCCCCTCACCTGCAGCCAGTATCCTGAGCACCAATAGGACTAATACAGTTGTGTGTGAGGGCACATGACACCCATGGCTTCATCAAGTGGTGGTGGACACCTGCTGTGTTGTACACCATCAATGTCCCTGCATCACCCATCTAATGAAGGAAAAATACTTAAATGCACTCATTTTCAATACTATGTCATCTAAAATTTGCAGTTCATTTCGATTACTGTATTATCTAAAATTTGCAACTTATTTCCGTTACTACTCACAAAATTGTAATAACACGATTGCAAACAAACCATACCATGGGCGGGGATAGAACCCGCGATCATAGAATCATAAAATTCCAGACTGACGCGTTAGCCACTGGGCCAACTCATTTCAATTACTGTGTTATCTAAAATTTGCAACTCTTTTCCGTTACTGTGTTATCTAGAAATAGCAAAGCACTGTACCATAAAGCAATCCTATTCTTAATACCAGTGGAGTAGATTTACCAGCTAATGGTTCTATGCTACATGATGTAAATGACAGAACAGAAGGAAAGTTACGGAAATGCTGAGTAGTTTGTGGAAACAAGTTTTGTAATGGATGTCAAAGTGAGAATATATTAGAGTATAGTAGTGCTGACTCTGTACACTGTTAATAAAGCATTACCACTTTTTTTTTGCATGTACTCACCTATTTGTGGTTGCAGGGGTCAATACATAACTCCTGGCCCTGCCTCTTCACTAATCATACTAGGTTTTCTCTCTCCCTGCTCCATGAGATTTATCATATCTCGTCTTAAAACTATGTATGGTTCCTGCCTCCACTTCCTGACAAACACTATGACTAAAGAAATACTTCCTAAAATCTCTCTGACTCATCTGAGTCTTCAGCTTCCAATTGTGATCCCTTGTTTCTGTGTCCCATCTCTGGAACATCCATCCATCCATCCATTCACTCAGAGTGAGTGAGTGTGAGTGTGAGTGTGAGTGTGTGTGTGTGTGTGTGTGTGTGTGTGTGTGTGTGTGTGTGTGTGTGTGTGTGTGTGTGTGTTAGTTACCATTTTGTCCTAGGCACATGTCGATTAGACACTAGGCCTGTTGTATATGAGTACGTGTGTGTGTGTGTGTGTGTGTGTGTGTGGTGTGTGTGTGTGTGTGTGTGTGTGTGTGTGTGTGTGTGTGTGTGTGTGTGTGTGTGTGTGTTGTGTGTGTGTTGTGTGTGTGTATGTCTGTGTATATGCGTGTGTTTATGTAAGCAGTCCTAATGGCCCGGTGGCCTGGTGGCTAAAGCTCTCGCTTCACACACGGAGGGCCCGGGTTCGATTCCCGGCGGGTGGAAACATTTCGACACGTTTCCTTACACCTGTTGTCCTGTTCACCTAGCAGCAAATAGGTACCTGGGTGTTAGTCGACTGGTGTGGGTCGCATCCTGGGGGACAAGATTAAGGACCCCAATGGAAATAAGTTAGACAGTCCTCGATGACGCACTGACTTTCTTGGGTTATCCTGGGTGGCTAACCCTCCGGGGTTAAAAATCCGAACGAAATCTTATCTCTTATCTTATTTACCTCGTATGTACTACATATGTACCCAATCTCTTGGTTCCCACTGTACTGTCTTGTGCCTAAAATTACGTTCAATTCTGTATGCTAGGCTTCGCTAGGCTACCTCTCATACTAGGCTATATATCATTAACTACTTAACTCTCCTAAACCTCAATAAATTCTATTAAATTCTGATAGCTCGAGGAAAGTGACCCCCAATTTCCAGCTAGAGATTGGTGCTGACCCCATGCAACTCAAACTAGGTGAATATTACTTGTGGCTGGCAGTGGAGTAATGTTGTCCTGGGTCCCAGTATGAAAATGCTTGATGCTTCTCGGTAATTTTTACACTAACTTCCTGTAGGCACTGTAGTCTCTAGCTCATCTATATTTTTTTCACTCACTCACTGTATTTACTGACACATCTATACATATCTCTTATCTCCCTAATCTTGAGTCGCACTTATTCTTCAAATACCCCACTGTGTTATTATGGCAACACTATTTAGGGCTGACACAACCGTTCACCTTCCTTCCAACGGCCCCCACATAGTAACTGTCACTATTTACTATGTTTGCTTTTCTGTGATCACTTATATTTCCTTCTTTCGGTGTGTGTGTGTGTGTGTGTGTGTGTGTGTGTGTGTGTGTGTGTGTGTGTGTGTGTGTGTGTGTGTGTGTGTGTGTGTGTGTGTGTGCGCGTGTGTGTGTGTGTGTATGCTCACCTAATTGTGGTTGCAGGGGTCAAGACTCAGCTCCTGGCCCCGCCTCTTCACCGACCGCTACTAGGCCCTCTCTCCCCCTGCTCCATGAGCTTTATCATACCTCGTCTTAAAACTATGTATAGTTCCTGCCTCCACTACATCGCTTGCCAGACTATTCCACTTCTTAACTACTCTATGACTCAAGATATACTTCCTAACATCCCTTTGACTCATCTGAGTCTTCAGCTTCCAATTGTGACCCCTTGTTTCTGTGTCCCATCTCTGGAACATCCTGTCTCTGTCCACCTTGTCTATTCCATGCAGTATTTGTCATGTGTGGGAGTTCAACGTGGATTGGGTAAGAACACTCACGTAGGCTGGTTAGTACGTATATTGGAGGGGAAATATGGGGAGCACCACGCCTGGCCTGCCTCTCTGCTAACTGACTCACCAGTGAAGCCTAGGGGTGAGCAGCATTCAAAAACATGCTATAGTCAGCAGCAACATGAATAACAGTCAGTGATTCACACAGACGGTTGGTATTGAGTCATACTACCGGTAACTGGTTACTGGTAACTGGTACTACTGGGAAGTAATACTACTGAGAGCTCGGTGACGCTAACGTATGTCATCCTAACATACAGCTAATACAAACTAGAGATGGCAGGCGTACGGCTTGGGCTGATTCTATACAATGGCAAAGTACACAACAATTGAACATTTTAACATACATAAGGAGAATATTGGAATGGAAGCTAATATAATTTACTGTAATGAAACTGACTGTAATGAAACTTACTGAAATGAAACTTACTGAAATGAAACTTACTGTAATGCATTACAAGGTATGATATAGCACAACTCATAGAATGAACTCAACATTGGGATTACATAATAAAAGTGATAAAAAAATTTTTGATCAATCGATCGGTATTCATGTGGTCTACGGATTCTGAGGAAGGATATGTACAAAGAAAGAAGTGTTTAATAGAAAAGGCAGACGTGGTGCACTCAAATCTAGACTGTTAAATCTCAGAATTCAGAGAGAATGCGAATACAAAAAAAAAATCTTGAATATTAATAAGTTGATACTGTAATTATTCATCTATACAGGTCCATGCAGTATTTTGTATGTCATTATCATGTCTCCCCTGACCATCCTGTCCTTCAGCGTTGTCAGACCGATTTTCCTTAACCTTTCTTCATAGGACATTCCTCATAGCTCTGGGACTAGCCTTGTTGCAAACTTTTGCACTTTCTCTAATTTCTTGACATGTTTGACCAGATGTGGGTTCCAAACTGGTGCTGCGTACTCCAGTATGGGCCTGATGTACATAGTGTATAAAGTCTTGAACGATTCCTTACTGAGGTACCGGAACGCTATTCTTAGGTTTGCCAAGCGCCCATATGCCGCAGCAGTTATCTGGTTAATGTGTGCTTCTGGCGATGTACTCGGTATTATACTCACTCCTAGGTCTTTCTCCTTGAGTGAGGTTTGCAACCTTTGGCCTCCTAGCCTATACTCTGTCTGCAGTCTTCTTTGCCCTCCTCCAATCTTCATGACTTTGCATTTGGCGTGGTTAAATTCTAGGAGCCAGTTTCTGGACCACGCATCCAGCCTGTCCAGGTCTCTTTGTAGACCTGTCTGGTCCACGTCTGATTTAATTTTCCTCATTAACTTCACATCATCTGCAAACAGGGACACTTCTGAGTCTATCCCTTCTGTCATGTCATTCACATATACCAAGAATAGCACTGGTCCCAGGACTGACCCCTGTGGGACTCCGCTCGTCAATGGCGCCCATGGCCCGGTGGCCTGGTGGCTAAAGCTCCCGCTTCACACACGGAGGGCCCGGGTTCGATTCCCGGCGGGTGGAAACATTCGACACGTTTCCTTACACCTGTTGTCCTGTTCACCTAGCAGCAAATAGGTACCTGGGTGTTAGTCGACTGGTGTGGGTCGCATCCTGGGGGACAAGATTAAGGACCCCAATGGAAATAAGTTAGACAGTCCTCGATGACGCACTGACTTTCTTGGGTTATCCTGGGTGGCTAACCCTCCGGGGTTAAAAATCCGAACGAAATCTTATCTTATCTCTTATACCTCATCACGGACCATGACTCGCTGTTGCCTCCCTGTTAGGTATTCTCTGATCCATTGCAGTGCCCTTCCTGTTGTACATGCCTGTTCCTCTAGCTTCTGTACTAATCTCTTGTGAGGAACTGTGTCAAAGGCCTTCTTGCAGTCCAAGAAAATGCAATCAACCCACCCCTCCCTCTCATTTCTTACTTCAGTTACCTTGTCATAAAACTCTAGTAGGTTTGTGACACAAGATTTGCCTTCCATGAATCCGTGCTGGCTGTCGTTTAGAATCTTGTTCCGCTCCAGGTGCTCCACCACTCTCCTCCTGATAATCTTTTCCAAGACTTTGCATACTATACACGTCAGTGACACTGGTCTATAATTTAGTGCTTCATTTCTGTCTCCCTTCTTAAAGATGGGGACTACATTTGCCTTCTTCCATACTTCAGGTAGTTGCCCAGTGTCCCTGCTCCCTCTCTAAGGACCCACAGAGAGATGTTGTCCGGTCCCACCGCCTTTGAGGTATCAAGGTCACTTAGGAGCTTCTCCACCTCCTCCTCTGTGTGTGAGTGAGTGAGTGAGTGAGTGAGTGAGTGAGTGTGTGTGTGTGTGTGTGTGTGTGTGTGTGTGTGTGTGTGTGTGTGTGGTGTGTGTGTGTTGTGTGAGAGAGAGAGAGAGAGAGAGAGAGAGAGAGAGAGAGAGAAGAGAGAGAGGAGAGAGAGAGAGCGAGAGAGAGAGAGAGAGAAAGAGAGAGAGAGACAGAGAGAGAGAGACAGAGAGAGAGAGACAGAGAGAGAGAGACAGAGAGAGAGAGACAGAGAGAGAGAGACAGAGAGAGAGAGACAGAGAGAGAGAGAGACAGAGAGACAGAGAGACAGAGAGAGACAGAGACAGAGAGAGACAGAGACAGAGACAGAGAGAGACAGAGACAGAGAGAGACAGAGAGAGAGACAGACAGAGAGACAGAGAGACAGAGAGAGAGACAGAGAGAGAGACAGAGACAGAGACAGAGACAGAGACAGAGAGACAGAGACAGAGAGAGAATGAATGAATTCATGTCTGCATAAATAACTCATTATGACTGACCAGATATAAACATGTGAACAGTTCATTGCTACTGTAACTTGCTCAGCTATCAAAACTCTGCAGCCCAGTCCCTGGACCCATTATGTGCCTCTGTAACCTTTTGACTACTGCCTACAGGATGAGTATGGGTACATAATAAAGATATTAAATAACAATAGTGGTTCTGGTGCCAACACTTCTGTATAGGTGTGAAGCATAGTCTGGTTGTTACAGTAAAGATCAGGTTAGAAGCACAATAATGGAAAAGTGCATGTTTTAAACAGAATAAGTAATGAAATACAGCCTCTCCTCACTTAGCAACATACTCATTTACCGACGACTCAGACTTACGATGGGCTCTCTGACCAGTATTCATACCAAAATAATGTATATTAGAGCTGATTTCCTCTATTCTGTTTATTACAATATACAGTACACTACTGTAGAAACATTTAATAATATACCAGATATGTTATAAACGATGCAAAGGTAACATTAAAACAATATCAAAGATGACTGACACAAACCTGCTACCATTATAGTATGCTCCACACTTACAAACAAACAAACAAGACAAAGTCTTAGGAACAGAACTCCATCGTTAAGTGAGGAGAGGCTGTTATTAGAAGTTGGTGTGTAAATATGAAAGGTACAATTCAGAGTAGCAATAGTCTGAGCATGTTAAAAGAATATAGCAAAATAAAGTTAGCAAAGAGGATGTATAAACCTGGGTTTAATGGTAGTTTGTGTAGGGGCATCTGAGGAAGAATTCTGTAGGTCTGTGCTGAGCACAATAAGCTAGTGTGGAGGTAAGAGGTCTATAGGCCCATTATGTGTTTTCTGTTGGAGTGTAAGCAAGATAATATCTATGTAGACATTGCCGTTCTCTTAGGTGGTGTAGGAAAGCCACAGTCCAATGGTTCAACAAAACCATATCAACTATGCTCTGGAAAGGCAGCTTAAGAAAAAAACTAAAAATTTGAAAATAAAAAGATAATCAAACAAGAGATATGTAACACACAAAAAAATACCAATAGAGTACAATACCTGCTGGAAATCATAATTGTGTTTCTTTGTGTTAAAAAAGGTGAACATGTTGGGATGTGTCAGTGCTGCTGATGGGAGAAGAGCTGGATTGGGAAGGGGCCAAGTCAAGACCCCTTCACTTTTTAGAGCCATTTCACTCCAATCTACCATTAAGTCAGTAGTATCTTGAGATTCATCTGCTAACCTTACACCTGCGTCCAGCCACAACACAGCTCCAGCACGCACCAGCAGCTCCTGTTCATGCAAATATAAATTATAACAGATACCAAAGAAGACAAAATAGATTAATTACGTATAAACTAAAATATTAGCATAAACACCTGATACAGGAAACTGGAATGAGAACATTTGTATATACTTAATTTAGCCCATCCTTCTAAACAAAATAAACCTTTAAATTTGACTGAAAACTTTGGTAAAGTAAGCCTGATATTAAATGTAAATGTAATTACATGATAGTTCACCTAAAATGCACAGCATGCTAGTGGCTTTAAATAAATAAAGTTTGTTTTGTTTGTCTGTTCATGGGTCTCCATTTTCTGTTTATATTTCACAACATTTTTGCCTTTTATGAATTATTTCATTTATACTTGTAATGTTTTAAGTTCTGTTTAAAATCTTTTAACAGATAAGACTCGAGCCTAACCGTGCCCAACCTAAACAACGTACACTGAAAAATTGGCTTAAAAAAGTATATGAAAAAGAGACAGTTATTGAGTTAAAAAAAAAAAATAGTAAAAATTACTCTCACAACTTCACTCCTTCTCCCAACTCTCTTGGCACCACAAAATTCTCCTATATGCACTATTATTTTTGCTTTTACCACACTGGCAATCATCCACAAAGGTAGGGTGATCCATAAATAGTCACATTCACCATCAATCATTCAACAGCTGTCTTGCCATATAAGCACAGATATCCCAATTCAAATGCCCACTGAGCCACAACATCCCCACCAATCCTATAGAATACAAGCACTGTATTTCCCATCTCCAAAATTCAAGTTCTGCACTAGTACACCAAAATGAGTATGGAATTCCAACTGAGATTATTTTTAAGTTAAGCTGATGAGCCCTACCCTCTACACACACATGAAAAAATATGTAACACTTTCTAATTTCACAAGGAAGTATTGTCACGAGATATATGAACTTAAATATTATCCTGTCTTGGTGGGAAATTGCCAATGTGGTAAAGGCAAGTGTTTAAGGTATGGAATCAACGCAAAGAAGTGTACTCAGAATATTATCTAGAAATAATATGTAAAGCATTAAAAAAGAAAGATAAATAGGAAGAAAAGTAAAGAGGGTAACACAATGATAATAAAAGGGAAAATAAGGAGGGCAACACAATGAAAGGAGGAAAATAAGGAGGGAAAATGAAAATAAAGAAAAGGTACAAACCTGTATGATAATGGGACGGTAAGCTTTAAGACGTAAATCCCTGATGTGGGAAGGATATGTAGTGAAGTCAAAAGTTACCACCACACATGATATATTGCATATTCTTAACTGCAAAAAAACACCTTTCTTGTAATAAAAAAAAGGCAAAAATACCGTGACGGGTTTTTGAAAACACAAAAAAACCTGCACATAAAAGAGAGGAGCTTACGGCGCTTTTGGTCCAAGTTGGACCAAAAAAGTAGTCGTAAGCTCCTCTTTTTCTATGTGCGGGTTATTTGTTTTTCCCTTTTTAAATCCCAAAAAAATTTTACAGCGGGAAGAAAAAATACTGTACTAAAAAAATTGAAATTTCGCAGGAAATCATGTAGTTACAAAATTTTAATTTTTTCCCCCCAAAATTTTTTTTAAAGACATAGGTATATATTTAGTACCCTTATATAGCTTTACCTGTAAAAATCAAGTGGGGCGAGATCAAGGCTATAAAGACTACAGTCAAGTTAGGCAATTTTGTTGTGCTAGCCCCAGTATTTCCTTTCCCCCGGGCCATACTTGTTCCGGGGACCCCGGGCAATAAAAAAAACAGTGTTTTTTTTATACTGTATTATTGTATAAAAAATTATTATTACAGGGTATATATATATAATATTTTTTTAATATATTTTAATTTTATATTATGGGTTTGGTTTGAAAAGAAACCCCCCCAGGGGGGAAGTACTCCCGGGTCCTCCCCATTGACTGTGAAAAAAAAAACCTGTAACGTTTTGTTTGATGGTAGGATTGCGGGTTTCTTTTTCTGTTCAAAAAACACGCTAAGAAAACAGGGTTTTCTTGCATCCTACTTACCCTTTGGTAACATTTCCCACAGGACAGGGCCACTTGATTTATAAAAATTTTACATACATTAGGTTTTTTTTTCCCCTTTTTCAAAATTACCCTTTGTTCTTTTTTTTTTTCCCTTTATTGTCCTTTGGGGGAAGTGGAAAAGAATCTTTCCCCGTAAGCTCCCGTGCCCTTTATGAGGCGACAAAAATTTTCCCGGGAGCAATGGGCTAGAAACCCCTTCCCCTTGTTTACATTAAAAAAAAAAAATTTAATTTTTAAAAGGGGTTTGTTTAAAATGTGGGGGGATGTAGGGGCGGATGACAAAAAAACGAGATTGCTGTGTTATGAATAAAAAAGAATTTTGGATGTCCGGCCCTAAGCAAAAAACAAAGCAAAGGGGGGGTGGGAAAAGAGTTTCAGTGGGGGGAAAAAAAATGGGTTTAAAAATCTGGGGGTTCTGAGGGTTAGAGAAAAGGGAAAGGGGTAGCAGTAATGTTAAATGTTTAAATTTAAATGGAAGGAGAAAAGGGGAATATGAAGTGTAAATTCAAAAATTATGGGGTTTTAAAAGAAAAGGTTGGATGCGGGGAAGGGGTTCATAATAAGCTTTGTTGCACCTGGGGAAGAGAGGAATGCGAGGGGGAGAGAGTTTTTGGGTTTTTTAAGTGAAGGGATAGGAGCCTTTAAACCCAAGTGGGGGAGAATTGTGGTAGGGGATTGAAGCTAAAGTAGGGAAACTTTTAGAGGGGTGTGGTGGGTTTAAGTTTGGGGGTTTCCCGGTGTAAATGAAAAGGGACCCCCTTTGTTTGGGAATTTGTATAAAAAAGGGGGGTTTAGTTATAGGTAATCCCTTTTTTAAAAAAAAAGAGGATAAATAAGTATACACGTTTATGATGTGGGGCGAAAGGGACGAAAGTTTTGGATTTGTTTTGGGTTTAGATAAAAAAAACTGTTGGTAGATTCGGGATGTAAATGTTTATAGGGGGGCCACAAAAATTTCAGATCACTTTTTTATTTTGTAGCTACACGGGAGAGTAAAAGGTAGAGGGGATACAAGGAGAATGGGAAGCTTGGGAAAGGGAAGGGAGAGGTGAAGGTTTATAATAAAAAAGGGGGGGCAGTTAGGGAAAGGGGTTATAAACGCTATTGGAGGATGGAGGGGGCTAATGGGGGAGCATAGGCAATGGGGTCGAAGAGGTATGGGGTAGGTTTAAAAATGTAGTGTTGGAGTGTTAACCCGAATTTTGGGGGGTTACGGGAAAAAGGGGGGGGTGCAGGGGGGGGAAGAGGAGGTTTGGGTTTGGAATGATGATGTAAAAGAGGTAGTAAGGGAAAAAAAGTTGGGCATATGAGAAGTTTTTAAAAAGTAAAAGTGATGCAAGGGGGGAAAAGAGTATATGGAAAAAAAAGAGAGAATTTAAAGAGAGGGGGGAAAGGGCAATGAAAAAAGAGGGGCAAATGAGAGAGTGGGTGAGATTTTAATCAACAAATTTTTTTTGAAAATAAAAAAAAAGTTTTGGAGTGAGATTAAAAAAATTTAAGAAAGCCTAGAAAAACAAAGGGAAATTTGTCAGTTAAAAATAGGGAGGAGAGTTATTAAATGGAGGTTAGAGGTATTGGGAAGAGGGAAAGGAAAATTTTGGGGAAATTTTGTTAAATGTTGATGAAGATAGGGAATTTTGTGTTTGGGGATAGGGAAAGGAGGAATAACATCTTGTAGGAGTGAGGAAGACCCAGGGTGAGTGTGGGGGAAGTTCGTGAGGAAGTAGGAAAAAAAGAAAGGGGGTAAGGCAGCCGGGGTTGTTGGGGAAAAAAGGATAGAAATGTTAAAAGCAGGTGGGGATATGGGTTTTGGGGGGTTTGGGTTTGCAGTTATTTAAAAAAATGTTTGGAAGGGGGTAAGGTCCCTTGGGTTTGGCAGAGGGGCAGGGCATATTTCCCTTTTGGTATAAAGGAAAAGGGGATAAAAGAGAGTGAAAAAAAATTTAAGGGGGAAAAGTCTTTTGAGTGTACCGGGTAAAGTGTAGGGTTTGGTTAAAATTTTGAAAGAATTAAGATTTAAGGGGGAAGAATAGGATAGGCGAATGAAAAGGAGGATTTGGGGAAAGGTAGGGGGGTGTGGGGAAACCAGGTTTTTTTCAGGGGAAAACAATAATGAACAGTATTTAGAAAAGGTAAAGGGTCTTTGGGGGCATTTAGGGTTTTTGGAAAAAGGGTATGACAGGGTGGATAGGGGGCAATGTTGGCAGTTGTTGAATTTTTGTATGGTTTGGGGTGGTTACGGGAAAAGTAAAGATTTTTTTTGAGGTTAGTGGGGTTTCAAGTTAGGGGTATGTAGGAAAGGGGGGAAATTTTTTTCCCCAGTAAAAGTAGGCCTTAGAAAAGGGGATGTGTGATGTCACCGTGGTTGTTTAAAAATATTTATAGATGGGGTTGTAAGGAAGTAAATGCGAGGGTTTTGGCAAGAGGCTTTGGAGTTAAAAATAAAAAAAATAACACAAAAGGGGGAGGTTGTCCCAGCTGCTCTTTGCTGATGCACTGTGCTTTTGGGGGAATTCTAAAGAGAAGTTGCAGAGATTGGTGGATGAATTTGGTGGGGGTGTAAAAAAGAAGAAAATTAAAGGTGAAAACGGGGAAAAGGAAAGGGGTTAGGAGGATAACAAAAAGTTTTGGTGATGAAAGTTTGGGAATTCAGATTGGGAGGGGGGAGAGTATGGGGAGGTGAACTTATTCAAAAATTTTTGGGGAGGGGACGGGGTCGCGGAGGGTTATGAAAGATGAGGTGAATATAGAATTTTTGGGGGGGAAAAAGAGTGAGTGGGCATTAGGAGTTGTGGAGAAAAGAATTTTGGGCCCCTTGGAGGCAAAAGGGGGGAATGTTGGGGGAGTATAGTTTTTCCCAACGCTTTATATGGGTGTAAAAGCTTGGGTGTTTAAATGTTGAAGGGGAAAAGGCTGGGGGCCCCAGTGGAGATTTTAATGTCTGGGGGCAATTTTGTGGTTTGAAATATTTTGCGGGGAGAATTCGTAGTTTGGAATTTAGGAGGGGGGTGCCGGGATTACCAAAATGTTTTCCAGAGGGCTGAGGGGGGGTTGTTGAGGTGGTTCGGACTTTGTAGAGAGAAGGGAAAGGGGAAACAGAATGTTTTTCAAGGTGTATCGGGTTGTAGGGGAAAGGGAAAGGGGGGGTAGGGGTGGCCTAGGGGGGGTTTGGGAGGGGGGGGGTTTAAAGGGGGTTTTTGTGTGCAGGGGTTGGGAATTCCCGGGCAGGCATGCGTAAAGCGTTTTTTGATAGGGTAAAGGGAGAAAAAGGGTTTTTTAAAATATTGACGTGTTTGTTGGAGTGTGAGAAAAAGAAAACATTTATAAAAGGGTTTCGGGGAAAACCGGAGGCCGGATTTGAGTCCTGGAGATGGGAAAAAAAAATTTTGGCCCGCACTCTAAGGGGGGGTTTTAAATTGTTGCATTTTAAAAAACTGTAGGGGAAAAAGCACCCTTCGGGAAGACAGTGTTGGATAAATTGATGGTGAAAGTTTTTCTTTTTGGGGCCCAAACCCTGCCTTGGGGGGGAATGGCCCGGGTGGGGTTTAATAAAATTTTAAAAATAAATATTTTTTATATATATTTATATATATATATATAATATATATTTTGGGGTAGTGGGTTTTGGTAGACGCAACCCCCGGGGAAAGGTTTCCCCGTACTAAAAAAATTTGGGAGTGAAAAAATAAAAGGCCTGAAATTGTTTTCATGAGGGAAAGGTTTTTTTGCTGGGTCTTTTGCTGTCTTTTAAAATAGAAAGTTTTACAGGTACGTTTTTGTACTTCAAAATTAACACTTAGGTCACACTAAACATACATTTTACTTGTTTATTTATAACAACCATCTGAGTTTTCTTTGATTTTTTTTTTAATATTCTTGGTCTTATTATTTTTCCTTTTTTTTAAAAAATGGGGAAGTGGAATAAGAATTTTTCCTCCGTAAACCCAGGGCGTTTTTGAAAAAGTAAACTAAAATGGGGGAACAATTTGGGTTTGGAACCCAATTTTTCCCTGTAAAGATTACAAAAAGGAATTAAGAAGAAAAAAAAAATTGTAAAAAGGGGGAAAAGTCTGAATGTGCTTTGGATTGTTGTGCCTTTTTGAAAAGAAAGAGTTGATTGGGGGATGTTTTAAAGGGAAAAGAAAATGGAGCCCTGGTTTTAAAGTAAAAACAAAGCTGAAGGGGGGGGAGATTTTCAATGGAGGGGGAATAAAAATGGGATTGGGGTCAGGGGTTTCAAATAGGTTAAAAGCAAAAAAGAAGGTTAGAAAAATGTTGAAAGGAAAAAGCTATGGGGGGAAAAGAGGGATCCCAAAGCTTTAAATTAAAAGGTTTTATGGGGAGTAAAAATGTTTGGGATGTGAAAAGTGGGTTATGTAAGCTTTGTTTTGCCCTGGGAAGGGGAGAAGTGTAGGGAAAGAGAGAGGATTCGGGGAAAATGTTGAGTGAATGCGTGGGGATTTTTTTGAATAAGGTGGAGAGTAATGGGGGGTGGGGATTTCAATGCTAAAGTGGGAAAAAATTGTTATGGAGGGAGAAAAGTAGGAAATTTTGGGGGTCCCAGGGGGTAAATGTAAATGGGGAGCCTTTAATTGAGCTATGTGTAGAGAGAAATTTGGTAATAAAAATTTTTTTTTTTTTGGGAAAAAAAAAAATTTTTAAAAAAATTTTTTAGCATGTAATGAAAGTAGTTTTTGGGAAAAAAGGGGGGGGCCCTTTTTTTTTTGGGGGGAAATTTTTGATAAATTTTTTTTTTTTAAAAAAGGGGGTAGGGGAAAAAGGGGGGCCAAAAAAAAAGGGGGGGGGAAAAATTTAAAAATAAGGGAGGAGGGAAATTCCGGGGGAAAAAAACCTTTGGGGGGGGGCAAAAAATGGGGGGGGGGTTTTTGGGGGGGGAAAAATTTTTTTTGGAAGGGGGGGTTTTGGGGGGGGGGGGGAAAAAGGGGGAAAAAAAGGGAAAGGGGAAAAAGGGGGGGGAAAAAAAAAAGGGGGGGGGGAAAAATTTTTTTAAAAAAAAATTTTTAAAAAAAGAAGGGAAAAAAAGGGGAAAAAAAGGGAAAAAAAAGGGGGGGGGAAAAAAAAAAGGGGGGGAAAAAAAAAAAAAAAAGGGGGGGGGGGGAAAAAAAAAATTAAAAAATTTTTTTGGGGGAAAAAAGGGTTTTTTTTAAAAGAAAAAAAGGGGGGGGGTTTTTTTTTGGGGGGTTTAAAAAAAATTTTTAAAAAAAAATTTTTTTTTTTTTCCCAAAATTTTTTTTTTTTTTTTAATTTTTTTTTTGTGGAAAAGAAAATTTTTTTTGGGCCCTTTTGGGGGGGGGGGGGGGGGGAAAAAAAAATTAAAAAAAGGGAAAAAAAAAAAATGGGGTTTTTTGGGGGGCCTTTTTTTTAAAAGGGGAAAAAAAAGGGGGTTTTCCCTTTTTGGGGGAAAAAAAAAGGTTTTTTGGGGGGGAAAAAAAAAAAGGGGGAAAAAGGGGGGGGAAAAATTTTTTTTTTGGGGAAAAAAAAAGGGGGGAAAAAAGGGGATTTTGGAAAAAAAAAAGGTTGGGGAAAAAAAATTTTGGGGTTAAAAATTTTTTTAAAAGGGGGGTTTTTTTGGGGGGGGGGGGGGAAAGGGAAATTTTGGGGGATTTAAAAAAGTTTGGGGGTTTAAAAATTTTAAAGGTTTTTTTTGGGGGGAAAAAAATTTTTTGGGGGAAATTTTGGGGGGGGTTGGGGGAAAAGGGGGGGAAAAATTTTTTTTAAAAAAGGGGGGGGTTTTTTTTTTAAAAAGGGGGGTTTTTTTTTTTTTTAAAAAAAAAAAAGGGGGGGGGGGGGGGAAAAATTTTTTTTAAAATTTTAAAAGGGAAAAAAGGGTTTTTTTTTTTATTTTTTTGGGTTTTAAAAAAAAAATTAGGGTTTTTGGGGGAAAAAAAAAAATGGAAAAAAAAAAAGGGGGGGAAAAAAAGGGGGAAAAAAAAAAAAATTGGGGGGGAAAAAAAAAAAAATTTTTTTTTTGGGGGGAAGGTTTTGGGGGGAATTTTTGGGGAGGGAAAAAAAGGGGGGAAAAAAAAAATTTTTGGGGGGGAAATTTTGGGGGGAAAAAAAAACCAAGGGGAAAGAAGGGGAAAAAGTAAGGGAAAAAAATTTTAAATTTTTAAAAAAGGGGGGGGGGGGGGAAAGGGGGGGAAAAAGGGGGGGGGGGGGGAAAAAAAAAAAAAAAAGGGGGGGGTTTTTTAAAAATTTTGGGAAAAAAAAAAATTTTTTTTGGAAAAAAATTTTTTTTTTTAAAAAAAAAAAAAAAAAAAATTAAAAAGGGAAAAAAAAGGGGGGAAAAAGGGGTTTTTTAAAAGGGGGGGGTTTTTAAAAAAGGGGGGAAAATTTTGGGGGGGGGGTTTTCCGGGGGGGGGAAAAAAAAGGGGGGAAAAAAGGGTTTTAATTTGGGGGGGAGGGGGTTTTTTTGGAAAGGGGGGGGGGGGGCCCCCCCTTTTTAAAAAAATTTTTTTTTTGGGGGGGGGGTTTTTTTTTGGGGGTTTTTAAAAAAATTTTTTTAAAAGGGGGGGTTTTTTTTTAAAAATTTAAAAAATTTTTTGGGAAAAAAAGGGGAAAAAGGGGGGAAATTTGGGGGGGTTTTTTTTAAAATTTTTTTTTGGGGGGGTTTTTTTTTGGGGTTTGGGGGAGGAAAGGAAGGGGGAAAAAAGGGGGAAAATTTGGGGGGGGGCCGGGGGGGGGGAAAAAAAAAAAAGGGGGGGAAAAAGGGGGGGAAGGGTTTTTTGGGGGTTTTTTTTTCCCCAAGGGGGGGGTTTTGGGGGGGTTTGGGAAAAATTTTTTTTTTTTTAAAAGGGGGTTTTTGGGGGGAAAATTTTTTTGGGGGGGTTAAAAAAAAGGGGGGGGGGGTTTTTGGGGGGAAAAACCGGCCCTTTGGGGGGGGTTTTTTTTTTTTTAAAAATGGGGTTTTTTGGGGGGGGGGGGGGGAAAAAAGGGGGGTTTTTTTTTTCCCCCCCGGGGGGGGGAATTTTTTTTTTAAAAAAAAAAATTTTTTTTTTAAAAAATTTTTAAAAAATTTTTTTTAAATTTTAAAAAAAAAAAATTTAAATTTTTAAAAAAAAAAAATTTGGGAAAAAAAATTTTATTTTAAAATTTAAACCCCTTAAGGGGAAAAAGGGGGGTTTTCTTTAAATTTTTTAATTTTTTTTGGGGGGTTTTAAAAAAATTTGGGTTTTAAAATTAAAAAAAAAAATTTTTTTTAAAAAAATTTTTTTGGGAAAAAAAAATTTCCTTTGGGGGGGGGTTTTTTTTTTGGGGGTTTTTTTTTTTTTTTTTAAAAAAAAAAAAAAAAAAAAAAAATTTTTTTTTTAAAAATTTTTCCCTTTTAAAAAAAAATTTTTTTAAATTCCCCCCGGGGGAAAAAAGGGGTTCCCGGGGGGGGGGAATTTTTTTGGAAAAGTTAAAAAAATGGAAAAAGGGAAAAAAACAAATTTTTTTTTTTAAAAAAGGGGGGGGGGCCCGGGGGTTTTTTTATAAAATTTTTAAAAATTTTTTTAAAAAAAATTTTTTTTTTAAAAAAAAATTAAAAAAATTTTTTTTTTTTTTTTTGGGGGGACCCAAAAAAAAAAAAAGGGGGGGGGAAAAAAAATTTTTTTGGGGGGGGGGTTTTTTTTTGAAAGGGGGGTTTTTTTTTAAAAAATTTTGGGTTTAAAATTTTTAAAAAAAAAGGGGGGAAAAAAGTTTTCCCCCCCTTTTTTTTTTTTTTAAAAAAAAAAAAAAAAATTTTTGGGGGAAAAAATTTTAAAAACCAAAAATTTTTGGGGGGGAAAAAAAAACCCCCCAAAAAAAAAAGGGGGGGTTTTTAAAAAAAAAAATTTTTTCCCTTTTTGGGGGGGAAAAAAAGGGGGGGAAAATTTTTTAAAAAAGGGGGAAAAATTTTGGGGGAAAAAACCCAAGAAGGGGGAAATTTTTTTTTTTAAAAAGGGGGAAATTTAAACCCCAATTTAAAAATTTTGGGGGGAAATTTTTTTTGGGGGGGGTTTTTTTTTTTTTAAAAAGGGGGGGGCCTTGGGGGTTTTTTTGTCCCCCCCCAAAAAAAAGGGAAAAAAAAAAAAATAAATTTTTTTAAAAAAAAGAAAAATAAAAGGGGGTTTTTTTTTAAAAATTTTTTTTTAAAAAAAAATTGGGGAAAAAATTAAATTTTAAAGGGGGGGGGGTTTTTTTTTTTAAAAAAAAATTTTTTAAAAAATTTTAAAAAAATTTTTTTTTTTTTAAAATTTTTTTAAAAATTTTTCCCCCCCCCCCCCAAAAAATTTTTGGGGGCTGAATTTTTTGGGGTGGGGGAAATTTTTTTTAAAAAAAAATTTAAAGGGGCCCCCGGGGGGAAAAAAGGGGGGGGAAAAAAGGTTTTTTAAAAAAAAGGTTTTTTTTTTTTTTTTAAAAAATTTTTAAAAAATTTTTCCCCGGGGGGGGGGATTAAATTTTCCCCTTTTAAAAATTTTTTTAAAAAAAGGGGGGGGAAAAAAGTTTTTAAAAAAAAATTTTAAAGGTTTTAAATTTTTTTTGGGAAAAAAGGGGCCCCAAAATAAAAAGGGAAAAAAAGGTTTAAGGGGAAAAAAAAAAAAAATTTTTTAAAAAGGGGGAAAAGGGGGGAAAAAATTTTTTCAAACGGGGGGGGGGGGAAAAAACTTTCATGAAATTTTTTTATCTTCAGTACAGCACAATTCTCTCTGCTATAGCAGCTTTTGCACAGTGACTGCTGATACATGAATGAGTGAATGTTCTGTGTACCTCCTGTACCCACACAGCTTCACCAGCACCTCTCTTAATCCAACAAATACAAGTAACAGCTTGTATTATAAGAAAGATCATGAAATAAAGCAGGTTTATGATATTGTTTTAGCTAAAAATATCTTAGATACTGCCAGCCTACACCGAACTGAGACATTACTGGTGGTTGAACATGAGTAATATTAAATGAGATATGGCCTATGAAAAGCAATATGAGCCAAAATGTTATTTTTTATACTAACAGACTTTTTCTGAAACTATTTGCAGGCTCCAGAACAGAATCCTCACAGATTTTGAAGTTTGGCTGTACTTTTTATGAGTGGGGTGCTAAAAGTTTTGAGCAAAACTACCAAAACAATTTAAACAGAATGGCCACTCACTGCTGAGGCAAGAACTGGTGTGGTTAGGTTGTCCCATGAATGCTTTGGGTAAAATTTAGGTTTCTCTATGAAACCCAATTTTTCTAAATGCTCCTCATCACAAGTCATCTTTCCTTCTAGTTCTTCCTGACAGGAGAGAAATCACAAATTACTGTAGCAGGGATCAATTATTAATATATAGAGAGGACGAACTATAAAGTTGATATAAAAAGAACATCTGAACATTTGAATATGGTAATTAGTTTTTTATGTGTTGTGCCAACATATAGAGTTGCAACACAAGTAAGAGAAGGTAATACATAAGAATGTGATTAGAGAAGAGAAATACAAAAATCTGAACATTAGTTTGTCAATGGTGCCACAGAGGCAAGGAAACCTAAATTTATATCACAATCAAAAAAGAGAGTATTGTATACTATACATATTTTAAATAAGAGAACTGCAGTAATTCACAAGATGAAACAAATTAATATATGCTCAATATTATTGTTTTAAAATATTACGACCCACCTTTAGGTTGTGCGAGACAATGGAATGGATAGCAGGACCTGTAGGTGGAGTGGATGTAATGGTTGTGAGCACTACTACACATGCTACAACACATACACATCCTCCCAGCACAGATCGTAGCACTCGCATTTTAAACGCCAAACTGGTAATGTTTCTCCATCATCCCCTTGAAAAGATGCACACTGATAAACTGTATTCATGACGTTACTGTATAACTGATATAATTAAGCTTACAAAACTCAGCCTGTAAAATAATTTATTTATATAATTTTGGAGAAAGGCAAGTCAGAATTCCACTGCAGCATTACACAATATAATAGTGCTCATTATGATAAACGTCATATTAACTTGAAGAGGTTTGTTTATTTTTATACTCACGAGGAAGTCTGTGCCAGCAGGGGTCATACAGCAACCGGGAAATGGGAGGTAATCAGGTTTGATCCAAGGAAGGGGAGGGTACCTCTAATTCTTTTGATCAAAGACCGTTCATCAGTATCAAGGCATCTCCCTTGAAGGGTGTTTTATATTAAGAGAGTTAGCTTCAACTGGGTTACATCAGGTTAAGTTTCCTTTGGATAAGTGAAGTAAATTAAGATACGATATTTTAGTAGCTGCTAGATACACTTAAGTTTAACTTTACATTTATAAGCATTTTTTTTATTTCTCACAGATTCCTGTGGAGGTGTAGAGTCAAGGTAGGGCCAGAGTCAAAGCACACAGTATAAACTTTTTCTTGAAGAGTTATAGGAAGTGCTAATTTTACTTCTCCCACATTGTTTTCATCTGGAGCTCCATCATCCCTTACTCAAAGAGGCCATATATGGGCTGGGTAATGAGAGATAATCAGGTTTGATACAAATAAGGGAAGAGTAGCTTCAATTCCCCAGATTGAGGGATTTTAACTAGCATGAAAGCACCCTTCCCCACCAAATGGTAAAGCCTCTCAAACTTTGACAAATAGCATAAAAACTGAAAAACTATGTAGAGCTAAGTTTATATAGCTTAAAAACTTAATGCATCTTGATACCTGAGAGCATGTATTTCCTCAATAAAGCTTATCTTGCATAATTTTGTATAAGGGTATGATATATACTAGTGCATTCAATATAGCTGTTGTTTAAAAAAAAAAAGGCCTTAAAAATGATACAATACAAACTGTTGGTGAAATCTAGCACATATTAAACATTATTTTATAAAATTAATATAACTGAAAGCTATGCCATTTGCATTTTCCTTTGATCAAAAATTTTTAATGTGGTTAAGACAACATACACTTGTCAAGAACTAAAAAGTATAATGTATCTTGATATGCATTATATTGTGAGGCATTTATTGTGAAAACCTCTGTGATAGCTACGTCTAGGTGAGTTTCCTAGTTTTAGTGAAATAACACACTAATGATAAGATATACAGATTACAATTAATATGAAAATCATTAACTATTAAGCCATAAACAGGAACTAAAGAGTACAATAATAATAATGGAAATAAGTCACTTTGACTTTTTTGGGTTATCCTAAGCAATTTACACTATGATAATTGTACTTATGTATACATGTGCCTAAATAAACTTACTGATGTAATAATAATAATAATTATAATAATAATAATAAATAAAAAATAATAATAAAAATAATAAAAATAAAAATAATAATAATAATAAAAATAATTAATAAAACAATAAATAATAATAAAAATAATAATAAAAAAACAATAAAATATCTACAAAAAGTTTTAAACCTGTGAGGGTAAGAGGCAATTTACACTACACCAATAAGACTTTTGTCAGACATAAAAAAAGGGGACAAAAACCCTTGAGAAAAAGTTATGGGTGACAGGGAAAGCTTTTTAGTTTTTTTTTTTTAATATCTTTACGGGAGATCATGGGATTCATCCTGATGATCAAAGAAAAATCCCCCTTTTTCAATACGGTAAACCCCAATCTAAGGGGCCTAAAATGACTTCAAATAGGGGACAAAATTGCTTTTAACCCGTTTGGAAAAAATCAGATAAAATTGATTTTCATCAACAAAGTTGATGTACTGAGGCATGACACATAAAAAAGTTCCAACACCGTTGCCTGTTTTATTAATATATCAAAAGGAAGCCAAAACCCCTGGGGGCCAACGGTTCTGTTGTCAATTAAAATAGCGTAAGCAGTATTGTACCTAGGAGCTAGTTGGGGTTGTCGTCGCATCCTGGGGAAGGCCTAGGGACCCCCAATGGAAAAAAGACACTGCTTGCTACCTAATTTACCCGGATTTTAACCTCAGGTTTAAAAATTTTTTTAAAGTTTATTCTTAAGCCTAATAATAAATTTCTTACCTGTGTGATGACTGAAAGTTTACTTTTGGTTTTTCTTGTGATCAATTATTTTCCTAGGAAAATCTAATACCTAATAAAGCAAAAATAAAATCTTTCCTTTTCCATAAACCCTAATACAATTTTTTTTGTTCTTTTTTTGATATACACAACTCTCAAACCCTGGAGATTTGCATACTAATCCTTTAAAAAGCTGATCTGCTTTTAAATAAAAAAAAAAAAGCTTTACAACGTGAAAATTAAAATAAAAACAAAGCTCATGGGTGAAAAAATTTTCCCAAAAAAGCAGAAAAAATACAAATAAAACAAGTGGCTGAATTTTCATTTATCCATTTGAAGGTACAAAAACATGTTTTTTGTGAAAGGCAACGTCAAGGCAAGCACTCACAATCACCTCTTTCAAAAATAATGGGAAAAGAAGGGAAAAAGAATGAAAAAAAAAGAAAGTATTAATGAGGGGGGGGAAATGCACCGATGCCGACCCCGCGCGGGGCACACTGAGTTATCGTACACCTGGCTGTTATTGTTGTACTTCGTCAAGATATCGTACATATACTGTTTTTTGGCACCTTCGAAGGGATCGTACATATGACTGTCATTTTTGTACCCCCGCAAGATTCGTACATACACTGCATTGTTGTACCTTTGTCAAGATATCGTACATAACACGTCTATTGTTTACCCTTTGTCCCAAATATCGTACATATGACTGTTATTTTTTGTACCTCGTCAAGATATCGTACATATAACCGCTATTGTTGCACCTTCGTTAAGGGACCGTACATAGACTGTCTATTTTTGTACCCTTTGCAAAATATCGACATAGATGTCTATTGTTTTACCCTTTGTCAAGATATCGTACATATGACTGTCTATTGTTGTACCTTCGTCAAGATATCGTACATATGACTGTCTATTGTTGTACCTTAGTCAAGATATCGTACATATGACTGTCTATTGTTGTACCTTCGTCAAGATGTCGTACATATAACTATCTATTGTTGTACCATCGTTAAGATATCGTATATTTGTCTAGTGTTGTACCTTCGTCAAAATATAGTACATATGACTGTCTATTATTGTACCTTCGTTAAGGTATCATACGTATGACTGTCTATTGTTGTACCTTCGTCAAGATATCGTACATATAACTATTTATTGTCGTACCATCGTTACGGTATCGTACATCTGACTGTTGTTGTACTTTCGTCAAGATATCGTACATATGACTGTCTATTGATGTACCTGTGTTAAGATATCGTACAGTTGACTGTCTATTGTTGTACCTTCGTTAAGATATCGTATACCTGGCTCTCTAGTCTTGTACCTGAATTACGATATCGTACACCTGACCAGGTATTGTTACACCTCCAGTTATTATACACCTGACCAGGTATTGCTACACCTCCAGTTATTATACACCTGACCAACGTCCAGTTATACACCTGACCAAGTATTGTTGCACCTCCGGTTATCATACACACGGCCAAGTATTGTTACACTTCCAGTTATTATACACATGATCAGTTATTGTTATTGATCTAATATTGTTATGCTTCTAACAATCATACACCTGACCTAGTATTGTTGTAAAGAACAAAAGGCACAATACCGTGAGTGGCACAATACACATATAACCCGCACAATCCATCCGTACAGTCCATGAATCTTGAAGACTGATTGACAGAACACATCGATTCCAGGCTGAGGGACTGATTACCTGAAATATACCTGGAGAGAGTTCCGGGGGTCAACGCCCCAGCGGCCCGGTCTGTGACCAGGCCTCACGGTGGATCAGGGTCTGATCACCCAGGCTGTTACTGCTGGCCGCGCGTAATCCAACGTACGAACCACAACCTGGCTGGTCAGGTACTGACTTTAGGTGCTTGTCCAGCGCCTGCTTGAAGACAGCTAGGGGTCTATTGGTAATCCCCCTGATGTATGCTGGGAGGCAGTTGAACAGTCTTGGGCCCCTGACACTTATTGTGTTGTCTCTTATCGTACTAGTGGCACCCGTGCCGAGTCTTTTGCTTTCATAGGGAGTGATTTTCGTGTGCAAGTTTGGTACAAGTCCCTCTAGGATTTTCCAGGTGTATATAATCATGTATCTCTCCCGCCTGCGTTCTAGGGAGTACAGGTTTAGGAACTTCAAACGTTCCCAGTAATTGAGGTGGTTTATCACAGTTATGTGTGCTGTGAAGGCTCTCTGTCCATTTTCTCCCCTCAAGGAAGGTTCCTTGATGTTGGTGAGGGGCTCTTGATTTAGGGAATTGGATCTGTGCTCCAGTTCCCCGAATTAAGCCTGAATGCCTTCCACATCCCCCCCCTAGGCGCTGTATAATCCTCTGGGTTTAGCGCTTCCCCCTTGATTATAATAATAATAATGTCCATTTTCTAGGTCAGCAATTTCGCCAGCCTTAAAAGGTGCTGTTAATGTGCAGCAATATTCCAGCCAAGATAGAATAAGCTACCTGAAGTAACATCACGGGCTTGGCATCCCTGGTTTTGAAGGCTCTCATTATCCATCCTGTCATTTTTCTAGCAGATGCGATTGATACAGTGTTATGGTCCTTGAAAGTGAGATCTTCTGACATGATCACACCCAGGTCTTTGACATTAGGTTATCGCTCTACTGTGTGGTTGGAATTTGTTTTATACTCCAATGATATTTTAATTTTCTCATGTTTTCCATATCGGAGTAATTGGAATTTTTCATCACTGAACTTCATGTTGTTTTCTGCGGCCCATTTAAAGATTTGGTTGATGTCCGCCTGGAGCCTTGCAGTATCTTCAATGGACGATACTGTCATGCAGATTCGGGTGTCATCTGCAAAGGAAGTCACGGCGCTGTGGTTAATATCCCTGTCTATGTCCGATATGAGGATGAGGAACAAGATGGGAGCGAGTACTGTGCCTTGTGGAACAGAGCTTTTCACCGTAGCTGCCTCAGACTTTACTCTGTTGACTACTACTCTTTGTGTTCTATTTGTTAAAAAATTATAGGTTCATCTACCAACTTTTCCTGTTATTCCTTTAGCACGCATTTTGTGAGCTATTACACCATGGTCACACTTGTCAAAGGTTTTTGCAAAGTCTGTGTATATTACATCTGCATTCTGTTTGTCTTTTAGAGCATCCAGGACCTTGTCGTAGTGGTCCAGTAGCTGGGACAGACAGGAGAGACCTGCTCTAAACCCGTGTTGCCCTGGGTTGTGTAACTGATGGGTATTTAGATAGGTGGTGATCTTGCTTCTTAGAACCCTTTCAATGATTTTTATGATATGGAACGTTAGCGCTATCGGTCTATAGTTCTTTGCTAATGCTTTACTGCCCCCTTTATGGAGTAGGGCATGTCTATTGTTTTTAGTAACTGTGGGACGACCCCCGTGTCCATGCTCCCTCTCCACAGGATGTTAAAAGCACGTGATGGGGGCTTCTTGCATTGATGAATACGGAGTTCCATGAGACTGGGCCTGGGCACAGTGGATGGGCATGTCATTTATTGCCTTTTGGAAGTCATTTGGCGTCAGGATAATATCAGATAGATATATTTCTACCAAATTCTGTCTCTCATAAAAAAATTCAATTAGGTCTTCGACTCTCAGTCTGGTTACCTCAAATTCCTCCTCTCTTTACACCATTCTTCTTTGTAATGGATCGATGAAGCTAATGTGTGGCGAAACGTTTCTTCAGTAAAGAGGACAACCAATTACCTTCCCTCGACGTTCTCCTACTCACTGGTGAAAACAGACTTTCTTTTAAAGTCTACCGGATACCCACCTACAAGAACGATCTACATTTCTTCTCTCACCATGACACCAGAACTAAAAGAGGGGTAGTTATTGGCTTCTTTTTTTGAGAGCCTACAGAATTTCCAGCCTGCAGTTCCTCGAAGAAGAATGCACATATATCACCAATTCTTTTAGTTCACTTCACTGCAGGAAACGTGCGACACGTATCCTCAGCAAGACCAACACCTATCAAGTTGAAGAAAAGCCTCCATGTTTCATCGTTTTACCGGTCAGCAACGTTGCCACTAATGTTTCAAAAATGTTCGACAGAAAACTGGCCAAAATATCTACCAGCTCTTCAACTACTATTAGGAACCTGATATAGAAACCCAAGCATGATTCTGGCGCAAGTGCAGGAATTTACACTATACCATGTGGGGTGTGTGGCAAAGTATATGTAGGGGAAACAGCC